TATTTTTAATTAATGTAATTGCTGAATAAGAACAACACTTGAAAAGGACCACAATGTGGGTCGAAACGTAGTGTGTACTTATTTTCAATAAATGAATAGCCAGTTTTTGGTCGAATTAAATTGCATCCTATTATTTGTTAAAATTTTATCACTGGCGATCAACAATTAATTGTGAAGATTTTTTATTACTATTAGCTGCACATAAAGATATTTAGGTAACTTTTTCCTTACTCCCAGATAGCCACAATAATTATTATGACATCATTTTGATGTCAAAATGCATCATTTGCCATCAAAATTACTGTGGCTATCTGGGCTATTTATTGCGATATATCATTTACTTTGTGATTTTTATTTAAAACAGGGTTGGGTAAGTTAATGATTTTTTTAAACTAAGTTAAGTTAAAGTTAGTTACTTTTATAAAATTCATTTTGCATGAACAAAAAATTAACTCGGTTAAAGTTAAGATTAAATTAACTAAAGTTAAATCAAAAGTTAATTTAAAAAACATTATATTAAATTAGAATTTTGTTTGTTAATTCTTTAAAAATTTATAATAACAAATAACAAAGAAATTTTGATTTTTTATATAGAAATATATTTTTGGTAATTACAATAATTGATGACAAAGGAACATAAAAATGAATAATACTTTAATCTAAAAGTAATACGTTTATAACTTATAAAAAAACAAAAAATGGTATTCAGAGATAAAAAAATTTTAACTTAGGAAAAAGTCAATAAGTTTAAAGTCAAAAATAACTAGTTAAAGTTAAAAATAAATATATTTTAAATTAACTAAGCTAATAAGTTAAATGTTATTAACAAGGTAAAGCAAACTTTACTGATTAAAATGTTATTAACTTTTTTTAACTTTTAACTAATTAACTAGTTATTACCCAACTCTGATTTAAAATAATAGATATAAGGCTCTTTTATACATAGTACATATACATATATATACTCTATGTCCCAAAAATTAAACATTTACAAAATAAAAATAAAAAATTAATTAATTAAAAATTTATTTGTACATAGAAATCACATTATTAAGAAATACACTGAAATTATTATCGATAACACAGGAACGTGTAAGAGTTGAAGTCAATACCGTAATGAAGGAGAACGGAGGCAAACTTACAATAAGATCGTTGCAAAATTTACCATATTTAGATAGATGTTTAAAGGAAACGTTACGTTTATACCCCAGCGTGTTTTTAATATCACAAAAAGCTGGCAAAGACGTCAAATTACGTAATTAATCATTTTTTACTTATTTTTATATTGTTGTAAATGAGAATTCTTATTTTTAAATATTTTTCGCATTTAATTTTATATAATTTTTTAGAATCATATGTCGTATCTGCTGGAACGACCATACAGCTATATCTCTACGGAATTAATAGAGATCCCAATTATTGGCCGAATCCAGATGTATTTGATTCGGATAGATTTTTGCCCGAGAGGATCCAAAAATCGGCATCCTTATCTACCATTTAGCGCTGGACCGAGGAATTGCATAGATAAAAAATTAGTCGTGATTTTATTTCAATAGATTTCGATACACTTTGAATTGTAGGTCAACGATATGGCCTGCTGGAACTGAAGGCTATGATAGCTCTTTTGGTACACAATTTTTATTTGGAGCCAGTTGATCACATAAAGGATGTTCAGCTTAAGACCGATTTAATTATTCGTCCTTTTCATCCGGTTCGCACAAGATTCATTCCGATTAAATGCAAACAGGATTCCATATGAATGTAAAAAGTTGACGTATTATAAAAATAAAAAAAATTTATTAGATTGTGAACAAATTTATCATTTTTTTAGTTCTTTAAATTAATTATTAGTTACAAAAAATATGTTTTATTGATTGATTTCAATGATGTTAAGTTTATATGATTTTATTTGATATATAATTTGATATATTTTAATTAATATATAAAATATAAAAGAAATGTAACTTTTATAGTAATATATATAAACCTCTAAAAAATATAAAATTAGAATTAAATATGAAATCAAAGTATAAAAAGTAATTTAATTTGTGAGAATTTGTAATTTGAAATCGTATTTATATCATAAATTAATCTTGCTTTAAAAAATTAATAATATAAATGAGATTTTCTCAAGAAACTTGAAATGCGTTTTATTTTTATTAAGAAAAATCTGATTTTTAAAATAAGTTCCATTTAAACATAGTAGTGTAATTTTTTATATTATACAAAATTTAACTTTTTTAAAAGAAAAATAAAATAATGCATTTCGATTTTCTAATAATAAAGGTGTTATATTATATTTGTCGTATAAAAACTTGATCGACCAATCATGACAACATTTGCTCGAACCTTCTTTGTTTCGATTGGTCAATTTAAATGTTAGAATATTATATTCGTTTAACATTTTATCGATTTCAGGTATTTCAGGTACACTTCATTTAACTTGAAAACTTACCGACTTTAGATATACTCTTTTTCTCTGCTTCACTTTTTTTTTTATTTTATCGACTCATTATTTGTTTATTGTACTTTATTCTGACTCCTTCATTTTATTATTTTGTAAATGTTTTGTAAATGTCATGTGAATTTTAAGAGCAGTAAATATTCTTTCAGCTAAGAGTTTTTTAATGAATTAAGATTTTCATGAAAATTTGTATTACAAAAAAAATGTTACTAATTATTTAATTTTGAAGGTATATATGTACATATACATATGTGTATATATATATATAAATATATATGTATATATATATATATATATATATATATATATATATAATATATATTTAAAAATAAAAATGATTGTACAAGAAAGCGTTTCAACGAAACAAATTAAGGCCATGGATCCTGTGTAACTGTAGAGAAGCATATATACACTTCGACGTAATACACAAATAATGTAGTGATCATAGTCAAGAGAAAAGTGACGTCAGAATCACGATGAATCATCGATCTCTAACAGAAAGTAGACTTTTTTCCCTTTAATCGATAATCTCGAAGGAATCTCGAGGCTTTTGTGGTATTTCCTATTTAAATATACTTTCACATTAAACACATTTTTTTTCCTTCTTCTCTTCTTTCCTTCTAGCAAATTTTTTTCCTTTTATAATCGAGTTCTATCGCGACATCCATCTAGCAGTTGATGATAAAATCTAATTGCATTATACAATTGATTAATTTTAAGCGATTAATTAGTTACAAAATCAATAAAAATTGTTTATTATTAATCACATTTAATTAAATAATTATAATTAATTATATGTTGTACAATAATTAATTAACTCGATGAAAAAATTTTGCAAAACAAAAAGTAATAAAGAATAGAAGTAAAAAAAAAGATAGAGCAAAAAAGCAAGTAAGCAACGCGTGTTTTATTGCATTTTTTGCATTTTAATCAAAATTAGAAAGTTTACATTTTCGAGAAGAATAAAAGAGAATCGTTGATATAAACAAATCCATAATAATAATTTGAATAACTGCAATTCTAATAAATTAATTAACAGGCTTCAATGTTAAAATCAAAGCTGACCCAGCAAACTGATATCATTAAACGTCAAAATAATCTTTTTGACGTCTAATGACGTCATTCGACGTCAAAATGACGTACGCTTGTCTGGGGAAAGTGAATAGATGACTTTTGTGACGTAAGAATTAACATTATGCAAATCGCTTCTAACGTAATATTATTGATATCGCGAATTTTATTTGCAATGCAAAAAAATATAAACGTTTCGGTTCAGAAACCGGCTTCTCTTCAGTGACGTAAATCAATAAGAAATGTCATATATATTATGTGTTAGAATATGAAAAATATAATAATATAAAATAAAATATAAAATAATATAATAAATATAAAATTAATATAATATAATAAATATAAAGATATAAAATAATATAATAAAAAGATATATTATAATAATAAAATATAAATCATAAGTGCAGGTATATGTATACATATATATATATATATATATATATATACACACACACACAAATATATATATATATATATATACAATATATATATATATATATACATATATATTAATTTAAACATTTTCAAAATCTTTGTCACGGTAACGAACATCACATTACCGTGACGAATTTCTTCATGAGGATTGTACATAATTTATTATTTTACACTTTAACGGATTATATTTAAAAATTTCTGTGCTTTACACAGGCAGTTCGTTATATTATATATAAATTTACGCTGCATTTCTTAATATGTACACGTCACATTTTTGCTCTTTAAATCTACTATTATTTTTTACCTAATAATTCAATCCTGTATCCTTAATATACGTATCCTTGATACATTCTTGTACATTCCAAACAAGAACCGATTTCACTGTTATATAAAAAAAACACGAACGCAATATTATTATTTGTGATATATACAAAGTTTAAATAATAGTTTGAAAGTTTTCCACGATTTTATTTTTCCCCGTTATAATTTTGATAGAGAGAAAAAGAGATTCAAATATATTTAACTAAAAATAATAAATAAATAAAAATAAAATACAAGTAAAAATAAAATTAAAAATTAAATAAAAATTAAATTAAAAATTAAATAAAATTAACATTATAATGCAAATTAAATAAAATAAAAATACGAATTCTTATCGAACGATCTTAGAGGAAATAAGAAACAAAAATATTTTTGACAAAAAAAATTATTTATATCCTTGTAAATTTTACTGAATAAATTAAATCGAATTCGTCACCTATATTCAACATCAACCGGTCTGACGTGTCGGGAATATCCCCTATAGTGCATCTTTCCTCCAGAGATTTTCCGTTCCACGCAAATCGCGACGTAAGGATGTCTGCGTCCGTGCGAGAGTGAAATACGGAGGCAAGGAAACGCGAACGAACGGAAACGCTTCGTGAAAAAGAGCCGGTGCACTGATGGAGGGAGACACGTCCTTGATTGAACGGCCGGGCTGGCGGGTTATAAAAGAGTATAAAGAGGAAACCGCCGTCGTTGTCGCGGCCAGACTCAGATAGCGACCTGTCCGAGCCCCAAAGCCTAGTCATATTGTCATGCCCGCCAACAAGGACGACACCTTCAGCCTGTCTTTGGCACGGAAGACGAATCCTCCTCCCACGGGATCATCCCGGTCGAAGATCAAGCTCGAAACGAACGAATCGTCCTCCACCATTCCGATTCTCCCAAATTCGTTTGCCCCGTCCACGGATGAGGCATGTAAGGGATTCCGAAAGGGAGATTTCCGCAGCATGCCCTTCCGGAACGTTCACGAGAAGCTCTTCAGGGACTTCTTCGAGCTGGTCTTGCAGCGAGCGGTGTTTCAGGTGAGCTTTTTTAATCTTCATTTTTTTAAATTTATTTTATTATTTATTTATTTGTAGATCATTCCACGTCACCCAAGTAGCATAATTGAAATCAAACTGACATTATTTTGACCTTTCTGTTCTGCTTAAGCACGTCCCACTCAAATAGAATAGAAAAATAAAATTAATGTCAATTTCACGTCATATTGATCACATTTGGAGTTTAAATTTTCTTTTCTACTTGAACAAGTAGCAAGCATACGTCATTTTGACGGCAAAATGACATCATTTGACGTCAAATTGACAATATTTTGACTTTTCTATTCTGCTTAAGCACCTTCCACTCAACCCAAGTGGAACAGAAAATCAAAATAATGTCAATTTGATATCATGTTGACCAAATTTGAAGTCTAAATTTTCTTTTCTACTTGGACAGGTAGCAAGCATACGCTATTTTGACGTCAAACTAATGTCATTTGACGTCAAATTGACATTATTTTGACTTTTCTGCTTGGGCAGCCTCTACCCAAGTAGAACAGGAAAGTCAAATAGTATCAATTTGGCGTCATATTGGAGTCTAAATTTTCTGTTTTACTTGAACAGGTAGTGAGCGTATGTCATTTTGATGTCAATGACGTCTTTAAACATCAAAATTACGTCATTTTGATGACATTTTAACGTCAGTTTGACGTCAGTCTGCTACTTGGGCCCATTACCCAAAATTATATTGAAGTAGATCCAACTTGTGAGGTACCAAAATTCAGCTTAAAGCTTCTAGTTTTCGGTGCTGTCTGGCGATTTTGAAAAATTTTGCTTCAAGCGAAACGTGATAACCCTTATTTATCTTTTTCTTTGCGCGAGAAATATTAAATCCCAATACGAGATTGTGCATAGATCTCTCTTGCGCGAGCAAGTATGTCCGAGAATGTTAAGAAATGCGGTCCAAGGATACCCGCGCAAATGTTTTAATTAGATAATAATTGTGCGACACTCGCGTGGTTGTAAAAAAAAAGGAGGCTTGTCACGGAAGAAAATACTTACGATAATTGTGAAATAACGGTAGCGTAGGTTACATAACTCTGGTAAAGGCAACCTTTAATTCGATAATTATTTCTATATTATTTCCCATACTCCCAATATCTAGGGAAACATTCTCTCTCTCTTTCCGTCTGCATTTTTCTCTTGCATTCTATAATTTTATATAGTTCCTCGTAGTATAATTTCTGCTCTACGTTTATTGCAAATAGTCGTGCTATACATTTCAGCGTACTGTATTCATCGCGATACAGATCTTTTTTATTGATTGTACCTTCTTTATTGATTGCGCCGTTTGTATGACATGAAACATTCTTTCTGTTCTAGCCGCCAGGGGCGGAATTCGAACGTTTATCGCTTAATTATTCACTCATATTTGCGAAGACCGTTCTTTCGTAAATATTCCCTTTTTTTACTGTTTTTCTTCATTGATTGTTTTTTTTATTCACTTTCAACATTCCTAGGTTTTTTACGATTTGTCATTATATTTATATATGATTCAATATTTTTTTTTACATCCAACAACGATAAAGCATTTTATTTTTATCCCGCGTTTTACTTGCATATGTCGATATGTTCGCGGATTTACATTATCTTGCGCTATTATCATTATTACGGCGATATCACGAAATCACAATTTTGCGATGTCACAAAAGAAGAGTGAGTCACTGATAATGAAATATCCCTAATAGATATCCCTTTCCTTCCCCTATCCTCTGTCCGGATATAAATTTGTTCTTTGCTCGTGTACATCGTTAATGGCGCAAATATAATCGTTTATGAGCACAAATGATGTAAATGTTGAAGATATCATGCGTGTCGATTGCATTTTTATGCTAATGAAATGTAATATTATATACATATGTAGTCTATTTATCATGAATGCGACGGAACGTTGGAATTTAAATCGCTCCCGGGGTATGTAATAATGGTTATTATGGTAGTTATTATATTGCGAATCACAAAGCGACAATTAAAGCGTTACCTATTGATCTTATTATCATGCGCTATTACACGCGAAGTTGCACGCAATTTGCATAAATTACAAATTACATGCCTAATTAAACTAGACGCAAAGAAAAGAAACAAATCCTCTTGGCTCGAGAACTCGTTGTCTTCGACGTAATCCAATCTTCTAATAGAGACTTTAAAGTCTTCTGTCATTTCGATATTTTTGTAATTTTAAATTTGTTGAAAATTAGAAAATAAAAGAGAATTTTATTTTTCAAAGTTACTTAAAATAGGAAATTAATTGTTTCAAAAAATACAAAAAATTAATAAATTTTTTATTTTTGCAATTCTGTAGTATAACTTGTAGATTATTCAAGTTATTAAAAGACTTGAAAATTTGTCTTTTTCTTCTTTTTGAAGAGATAATGATTTAAATTATATTAAGTTATATACAGGATGTTCCAAAATTAGACCGACAGTTTCAGGTAATTATAAACAACATTAAAACAAGTCAATTTTATCAATAAACTCATGTCCGCAAACGAGTTGTTTTGGCACTAGAATAGTTTTTGAAGTGAAATATGTTTTCTTCTCTTCCATTACATATCTAGCTTTCTCATAAATATACATATATTGGCCAGTTCTTTGTAAGAAAACTTGTCCATTTCGAACATAAAATTCGACTAAATAATAATCAGGGTTGGGAAGTAACGAGTTACTTGTAACGAAGTTACAATTACAGTTACTTTTTTTCGGTAACTGTAACTTAACTTCGTTACTTTTCTCCATCTGTAACTGTAACTGTAACTTAGTTACATTTTTTTAGTAACTAGTAACTATTTTAACAGTTACTTTATTAATTACTTTTTTTGGAAACATTCGCTAAAAGTATCGTTTAAGTATGGTAGCCGTTATATTGTTAAATTAAATTTTGATAACAGTAGCATATATATATATAGATCTTCATATAATTTAATTTTTTACCTAAAATTTTCATTTTGTGTACATAAAATAATACAACACATAATTACAATCGACCAATCACAGTCAAATATTTAAAAAAATTCTTAAATATAATATAATTAATCGATTTGCTTGCGACTTTGCGATTACTATTTAGTAAGTTACCATATATAACTATTTTTACTGTTGTATATAGTCATTCATACAATACATTGATGGTAATCGCAAAGTCGCAAGCAAATCGATCAATATTACATTCAAGAATTTTTTTAAATACTTGACTGTAGTTGTGCATAATATGTAAGCTCCTTATATTTAAAATAATGTATAATTATTTTTAAAAAGTAATTGAAAAGTAACGACTCGTTACTTTTTGAGTAACTGTAACTGTAACGAGTTATTTTTTAAAATTGGTAATTTGTAACTGTAACTAGTTACTGTTTCAATAAGATAACTGTAACTGTAACTAGTTATTTTTACAAAGTAACTTTCCCAACCCTGATAATAATGAATACTGATTGTGAGAATAATACTGAATGAATACTCAATGATTTTGGGTACTGAGCTTATAGTTAACAATGTCTTATTTAAGCAATTGTTAAACAATGTCAAACAATATATCTTATTGAAACAATGTCAAACAATGTTAAACAATATCTTAATGTTAGTCAAACAATTCTACATATGTATCAAGCAATGTTTTAGGTCTTTAAATCTTTAGTGCCAAAACAATTTATTTGTGGATATGAGTTTATTGGCAAATTTGATTTATTTCGATGTCCTTCAGAACCACCTGAAGTTAGTCGGTCTAATTTTAGGGCCTCCTGTATATATGCGAGCAATTTTTAATTTTTATTCACGCGTTATCACATCTTGCAGTCCACTTCTGGGGAAGAACGCGTGGTGGAGTGGGTTGATCCCAAAGATCTGCGATCCGTGGTCAATCTTTCGCTACCAACTGAGGGTGTTGATCACAAGGAGCTGCTGACGTTAACGCGTGACATCATCAAGTACAGCGTGAAGACAGGTCATCCACACTTCGTGAATCAGCTGTTCTCCAGCCTGGACCCATACGGATTGTTGGGCCAATGGCTCACCGATGCGCTCAATCCGTCCGTCTATACTTACGAGGTGTCCCCCGTGTTTTCCCTGATGGAAGAAGATGTGTTGCGAGAGATGCGTGCCATTATCGGCTGGCAAAGCGGCGAGGGACTCTTTTGTCCTGGAGGTTCAATGGCGAATGGATATGCCATCAACCTGGCTCGTCACCATAGGTGATTATTTCTCACCTTCAACGTCGTCCCGTTATATTGATACAACATTATTTTTGCGCACTCTTTTCTTTTTATTAGTTCAATAGAATAATATAAATACTTTTCCATGATTAAGTATACATGAACTTTTTTATTTTTAACATAAAATTCGTAGGTTCGTACTTTGTTTCTATATGTACTTTAATTATGGAAAAGCATTTATAATTCTATTTAACTAATAAAAAGTAAAGGGTGCGCAAAATTGATATATGTTTTATCGATAAAATAGGACGTTTAAGATCTCCTTAAGGGGATGCTGATTAGGTCTGTTTTATTGACAAATATTATTTTCATTTAACTCTTTATTAACTATACAGAATGACAATTACTAGAATTAATATTAAAAAAATAAGAAAGCTAAATAATTACAGTTTTTCTACCGATCTTTTGCATTGGGTCAACCTAACCAAAATCTAAACGAGAAGAAAACTGTAATTATTTAATTTTTTGGTTTCTTTTAAAATGCACATATAATAGCTCAGATTTATTATTATCAATACTTTAATTCTAGTAAAAGATTTTTCATTCTGTAAAGCCAATAAAGAATTAAAGGAAAATAATATTTATCAATGAAATATACCTAGTCAGCACCCTCTTAAGATCCCCTTAAGATAATAACCTATACAGCACACAAAGATTGCATACATATTGCAGTAATCTTTCACTGCAATATTGCAACATTGCAAATTTACTGCAAAATATTATTGCACCATTGCTGTGGGATTGCAGCAATGATAAAATATCCACTTTTATTACAATAAAATATTATAGCAATATTGCAATGTAATGAATTTTGCAACATTGCATATATATTTATTTTTGGGTATATAAATTGTATATAATGTAATTGTTGACGATACATTGTAGTTGAATGTATGTAGTTAAATGTCTTTATTTGTTCTTTCGTTAACGTTAATAACAACATTGCACACATAACATCTTAACATTAAAATAAAACTATTCTAATTTCCTTTTATATTAGAAAAAATAAAAATGTTCTTATTATATATATAGTCTTATATCATTTTGTATAGTTATATCATGTAAAATTTTTGAGATAATTTAATAAAAGAAGATATATTATATTAATTAAAATGTATGTAATGCGGTGTAAAATGCAGGCATGTTTTTACTGGAAATGGTTTTGCTATATCAGCTATTTCTTAACAATGACAAATACGCAATATGCGGTTCAGCTTTAAATATTTAATTAAAACATTTTATTTAAATTTATTATAAAAATTTATTATATATAAAATTTGTATTTTACAATGTTTCCGAAATATTAATATCATGTTGCTGATATTTTGTGGCTCTATATTTCTGCAATGTCTTTGTAATGTTGCATTACAATTTACAACATTGCAGCATTGCTGCAATTGTTATTGTAATAATCTGTGGTGTATGATAAATTACTAGAGAATCGACACTTGAATAAATAAATAAACAAAAGTTTATTATTAACTTTAGATATCCGAATCTGAAGCAAACCGGATTATCGCAGATGCCGCGGCTGGTGGTGTTCACGTCGGAGGACGCGCACTATTCCGTAAAGAAGCTCGCAGCCTTTTTGGGTATCGGTTACGACAACGTTTACCAGGTCAAGGTCGATTCGCGAGGCAAGATGATGGTCACTGATCTGGAGATTCAGATCGCCCGAGCCGTCGAGGAGGGTGCCGTGCCCCTCATGGTATCCGCCACTGCGGGCACCACCGTGATCGGCGCCTTCGATCCTCTCAGGGAAATCGCTGAGGTTTGCAGAAAGCGCGAATTGTGGTTCCACGTGGATGCCGCGTGGGGCGGTGGCGCCCTCGTTTCCAGGACGTACCGTCGTCTCCTGGACGGTGTCCACCTCGCCGACTCTGTCACCTGGAATCCCCACAAACTGCTCGCCGCTCCACAGCAGTGCTCCACTTTGCTGCTCCGTCATGAAGGTCTCTCCATCAAATTTGCACATTTTAAACATTTTTATAGCAGTTTTAGATCAGGTTACAAGAGAACAGGCCTACAGTATACACTATAATAATTTATTAATATCCCTAACAATACATATCCCGAGGAAAACATTCTGAGGATGTTCGCGTGTTCTCTGAATATCTTTATTTGGATATGTTGTGTTATTAGGGATATTAACAAAGTTCTCTTTATACAATTCTAGGTTTATTACAAGCGGCGCATGGTTGCGGCGCAAGCTACCTCTTTCAGAATGACAAGTTCTACAACGCGGTATTCGACGGCGGCGACCGGCACGTGCAGTGCGGACGCCGCGCCGATGTTGTCAAATTCTGGTACATGTGGAAGGCGAAGGGCACGCGCGGTCTCGAGGCTCACGTCGATCGCGTGTTCGCACTGTCACGTTACTTTACCGATCTCATCAGGACGCGCGAGGGTTGGCGCCTGCTCGCCGAGCCTGAGTGCACCAACGTCTGTTTCCGCTACATTCCGCCGTCGAAGAGGCACTTGACCGGTCCAGAACTGGATCAAACGCTGCATAAGGTGCGCGAAGTATTTTGTTACTTTCGCAATCAGGGTCTTTACATACAGGTCTTAAAACTTAAGGCGATTTTGATACTAGAGATAGTTCCTATATAAGTAGTAAAGTTTAAAGGATATATTAAATTCAACCCTAACTTATGGATTGCCTGCACAATTCGTTTGTCGGCTGCTTAAAATGGCATTCACGGTTTTGGTCTGCACTATCAAACTATAAAGGACACTATAAAGAATAGACTTCTTATTTTATATAGCATACATAAAGTCTGTTCTTTCATTCCAATGTGGAGTAAAAAAGATAAACTCTGAATTAGTGCAGCCAATTTAGCTGAAAAGAACAGATCTACAGTATACACTGCAGCAATTCACAAAGCAAACTATATTTTAATTAAAGACAAAATGAAGCTTCCTCTACCACTAGAGTTTCAGGTTGACCTGTATGTAAGATCTCCATTTCGCATATTTATTTTTATTCGAATCTACGTGTATATACCTATTTTGCTATTTTGATTTTATTCCGAAATAATCGCAAAATGCAGATTGCATCGATGATTAAGGAGCGTATGGTGAGAGCGGGAACAATGCTGATAACATATCAGACGCTGCGAGACATGCCGAACTTCTTCAGATTGGTGCTGCAGAACTCGGGATTGATGGAGGCTGATATGAAGTTCTTCGTCGAGGAGATAGAAAGGCTAGCTGTAGATCTTTGATAGATTTAAATTGCATACTGTAAATAGCGATAAATCGTGTACGTATATTTTATGTTTTTTATTAGTATAAGAAATAGAGTTGCATTTATGTAAATCATTTATGTGATACTTGAAAAAAATTATTGAGTGTATAAAAAAATGTTTTTCTTCCATTCATTCTTTATAAAAGGAAATCGTTATCGTTAAACATTATTTAAAAAAAAGTAACAAGTCCATAAAATTGTCTTTACCTTTTTTTGTATTACAAGGCCAAGTTATAATACTACATAACCCAAAAAAATGTAAAGACATTTTTTTAATCTTCAAGTTTTTTCAGTGTTAATTAAAAAAATTATTTGTTTCTTTTAATAGATTTGTAAATATGACCAAAATCCCTTTCATTTCATGTAATTTTAAAATCCTAATAACTTACGGGTCAACTTTGTTTTTAATACACAAAAAAGCTTCGAAGAGTACATAATTTGATTAAAATAAATTTTTATCGAGATTGTTTATTAATTTTAAAAGAATCTAACTTTTCACGTCATCCGAGCAGTAGCAAGTTTAAAAGTACAATTTCCCATGAATCCATCTTTGAGATATGTGTCTCTCCTCAGTTTGTAAGTTAGGAAACAAAGAAAAGAAGAGTTATATTATTAGTTGAAGCTTCATTCTATTTTTATTTTTTACGCGTTTGACTCCGCTGCGAACTTATTTAACCTATGTTTATAATTATTTTTTACTACAATTTTAACTAAGATATGGTCTGAAATGAGCACTTTTTAGACCTATGATAAGTACATATTTAAGTTTACAATAAAGTATATCTTTATTTACTGCCCTTGGCTCTTATTGTCATTTTTTTATTTTGATTTGACTATATTCAAGAGAGCCTTATATTGTTTAAATTAAAAATGTTGCATACGCAATCAAAGATTCAGAATAATAAAACAAAAAAGCGACAAAAGATATGTATCTTATTTCTTTCTCAATATGTTAAAAAAATAATGGACATAGGCATAAAAGCAAATCAAGGAGTATACCAAATTGGGAAAATTTTGTGATACAAAACCAATCGTTATAAAACTTTACACAGACATAGTACGAGGTAAAATACAAAGAAATTCAAACAAAATCAAATGATTAAGTGGATCCTGGTCAAAACCTAGAAAATGGATCCGATGTATCATGTGACGGCAGTGTCCGTTTACTACTCGTACAATCTTACTTTGGCAATAGAATAACGTTATTCGTGAATGGCCCCTCAGAAACACTGCAGTTTTACTGGCTACATAAATAGGGGGGAGGGAGAGCTGCTTAATTCATAGAATTTTATAAAATAAACGCTTAATGATTGGCCGAGTTTTATCTATTTCTGTCTTCCTCGTCATTGTCGAGGTTCATTTAACCATTCAATTTCGATTAGATTTCTTCATATTTTCCTCATATTATATCAAGTTTTATAACGATTTTGTACCACAAATTTTCTCAATTTGGTATACTTCTTTCGTTATTGTTGAAAAGAAATAAAAAAGAAAAGAATATAGAAATCTCACTGTAATTATATGTATATCACATTCATTTTCTTCTATTGTATAATATGTGCCATATTGGCATTGCGATAATTATTACGATATATTTACAATTATTTGTGAATTTTCACAATATATGTGTGATTTACATTCCATAAATTTTGATTTTTAACATATTCTATACAATTCAATAACAACTCTGTATACAGTAATTCTCAATAATGACTCATTAATCGTAACAAAAATATTATACATTCGCCACGATTGAAGACTATTAATTAGTCTTCAACGCAGGTATGCACAATCTCTTAGACAATTGTTCCTCGTTATCCATTCCTTCGTACTTCAATTTTCTTCGTCGAGAACTTAAGGAAGGATTTAGCTGTACTCCTTGAGAAACTTGATGTGAAATTGTTTCAGCGCTTCAAGCATCGTCTTCATTTTCTCTTTTTGCGGCAGTATTGTAGTCCGGAAGTGATACGTACCGGGTTTTTGGCCAAAACCCGAGCCCGGAATCAGGCAGATTCCGGTGGTTTCCAGCAACTTGAACGCGTAGAAGACGTCCGGTTCCTGACCTTTTGCTCGCGCCGCCTCTATCGCCTTGGGTGGTAGATCAAAACGTGGGAACACGTACATTGCGCCCATCGCCGGATTGGCCTAAAATGGGAAGAAATATTATGAGAATAATATGATTAACATTCAAATATGGGGATATTGATTATTATTAAAATTTAATTTTTAACTCAAGTTTAAGTGTTAACATTTTAATTTGAGCGTAGGTTAAATGTTTGTGTGTTTTAGTACTTAAATTTCGGTTTATATATAGTGAGCGTTGACTATTAATGTTTAATATGTAAGTTAGTTTAATTTATGTGGGTTTAATTCTCAACAATAACACTAGTCAACATTTTTCGATCTTTTTTATATCACAAAAGGACAGGTCATTTCGATAGGATTTTTCCGGTAGATTTTACGAATCTGAAATTCAAAATGTTCCATCGCATCACATTTTTGAGAAAAACGAGGTCAAAGGGTAAAAAACCGGTTTACAAGTTTCAAGGTTATATTTTTCCGAAAATGATGCTTTTCAATAAGGAATGCTCCATTATCAAAAACTATATAGACACATAAGTTTGGGTTGAATCTTGTTTTACATGGAAAATAGCAAAACCATGGAACTTTGCTTCGTGTTGTAAAATACATGATGGACTTAGTGGATTCCTTCGGAGGACTCCACTTCCGAAGGATATAACCTACTAACTCAACTAATTTTGATTTTCAAATTAAAATATATGCGAAATAGATATATCGGAAATAATTTCGCTTTTCGAATATTGCGATAAAAAGGATCGATATTTCCGAAATTATGAGCGACTTTGACCACTCTTGGACTTTTGTTTCAAATGATTCATTTAACAAAAATTCATAGTCAAATCTGCGCATCACGAAAATCGTAATCTCCCCGATTAACCTTTAATTTGAAGATTGTTTTAGTGCTTTCTAACAAACGCAAAGTTGAGTGTATTTTTCGTAAAGATTTAAATGCAATCTCTAGAGCAGAAAGACTGCATCACCTTGTATCCCGGAATACTGTTGAGCGTATCAACGACCAGCTGCGATCTTTCCGCCAGAGATCGCAAGGTTTCTTTCTTCTCTTTCTGAAATTCCTTGTACGATGGTTCGTTTGGTTGCGGCGGATTCACCACGACATCCATCACGACCTGGCCGAGCACGCTCGGGCAGAGCATCGCAGAAATCGATTTCAGCAACACCTTCATCACCTCCGGATCCATGTTGATAATCTCGGCGTAACCACCGCGAATCCCGCACTCGCCCATGTAGCCTGAAAGCGAGACATATTTTAGTTCTAAAATTTCCTGAGAAATATTTCTGAATCAAACTTTAGATTCCATGCCATTTAATTATGATTGTGAATTTGCGATAAAATTAACAAATTCAAATTTAATTTAAAACGGAATCATTCCTAAATTACAAAGTTCAATGTTTTTAATTATTGTTAACAATTTTATATTATTTTCTTCTTACCTTTCGAGATTGACATAAACGACGCAAGCTCCATTTTGGAATACGGCTCTCCCATCTCCGTCATGACTTTCTTAAAGGAATGAAATGCGCTATCTTTGTCATATATATTATCCTGATAAACTTCGTCGGCTAATAGAAACAAATTATTCTTGTGAGCGAAGCGAATAACATTTTCGATGTTGGCGCGAGTAAGTACTTGTCCGGTTGGGTTTCCAGGATTAATCACTACCAATACTCGTGGATTGCAGGTGCCTTTGGCTTCCTTAAGTGCTCGTTCCAACTCACTAACTTCCAGCGACCACTTGTTGTCTTCGTCGAGATAGTATCCAATCTGCGCGAGGCCAAATTCCGCCAAGGTCGCCGAATACAGAGGATATTGCGGAATCGGGATCAGCACGCCGGACGGTTTGTTGTCGATTATTTCGTTAAACAGTTTCAGGAATGACTGAAGAAGAAAATAGAAAATCAGAATAAAAAGGACAAAATGCAGGAAGACAAGATGCAGTATTGCTGGTACGATCAACTTATACAAAAACATTTTTTGTAAAAAAACGCGTTAAGAAGTTAATATTGAGAAATAATAGCAAAAACATTTATTATTCTATTCAATCAATAAAAAGAAAGAGGTGCTCAAAAATTATGTTTGATCAATAAAACAGAATGGCGTTCTTCAGATAGCACCCAAAATTGGTGCATGAGACATGCAGCATTAAGAAATCTTTAAAACATTTTTAAGTAATCATATGATATCTCAACGACATCTGAAGATGTCTTATGTACCAATTTTGAACATAGTGCTGTCTGGGTTGAGATCCCTTTAAGGGGTTAACATTGGAAAATAGTAGCAAAACTTAAAGTCTGCACGCACCTTGATGCCGTCAGAAGCGCCGTTCGACAGAATGATGTTGCGGTAGTCGCAAGAAATACCACCGTCGCGTTGTTGGATGTAGTTCGCGACATGCTTTCGGATCACCTCGATGCCAGCCGATTCCGAATACGAACCCACGCTACCGCCCTTACAGCCGTTGAGGACTGTTCGGGCTCGTTCCTTCGCGTCTTCTGGATAACTCGGATCGTCCAACAGATTTGGCGAGACTGTCAAAGTCAGCACCTGTCGTAGAAATGTGATGGGCTGCTGGCCCATCGCGTGAGCGTCGCCCACGTTCGCTTTGATCACCTCATTGAAAGGTTTCTTGGCGCCCTATAAGAAAAAAATAGGTATTAGATATTTAATAATAATTTTATATCTTGATAAACTAAACTTCAAAAGATTTATTGAACAGTGTTCGGTAAGTTAATTTTTTCTTAACTAAGTTAAATTAAAGTTAACTGTCTTAAACATTTTTAAGTTAATAATAAAACGTACTTAAAAAGTTAAAAGTTCAAATTGTTTCAAAAAATATATTGGCTAAAAGCCATACAATTGCCAATTAACTTGCAACTTTTATGTAAGAACTGAATTTACGCATACATTTCTCTTGTGAATGAATTCAAGAATTGAACCCCAGGACCAGCGTTTGGTGTAAAGAGAGATCGCGAAATAATCGAATTCACATGAAATATGGCCCGTTTCGTATGCCAAAAAAAATGTCAAAAAAGTTAAATAAAAAGTTAATAGTTACTGATAAAATGTAACTAAATTAAGTCAAAAGTTAAGAGTCTAAAAATGTAACTAAGTTAAGTTAAAATTATTTAACTTTTTAACTTAATTTTTATCTTTTTAATTAGACACTACCCAACCCTGATTGAAAAGAAGACTGATTTAAATTGTATAGAGAGAGAGTGTTGCTTGAAAACTTGGTAAAAAGGGGCTTTCGAAAACATTAGTGATGTCTTTCTTTAAGCTTTTTTTTATTCTGGATTTTCTTGTTTCTTTCGCATACATACAGTACCGGTCAAAATTATATCATTTTTTGATTTTTCCAGCATAACTTGTTTTAAAGTGCATGGATCTCTACACGAATTATAATATGTTTTGAAGGACGGTATAACATATATTGAATTATAATTCAATGTTATACCAACCTTCGAAACATGTTATGATTTGATACAGATCCGTGCACTTTAAAACATGTTATGCTGAAAAAATCAAAAGATAATATAATTTTAACCGATTCTGTACAAATACACATAAAGAAGCTGCACTAAATACATAGGATTTTGGCTCTCGGTGGAATTGACTGTTTTTTTAATATGTTATAGCTGACTTTCTGAACAAAAGATATGTAATAACTTCAAAGCTGAAATAATTATTTATACTGAATTACAGCCGGTCAACTAACAACTCGCAAAGTTCTAATTTTTCATGTTTGACTGGTTATAAATCAGTAACTATCTATAATAATAGATATAGCTTATGACTTTCTGAACAATATAATATATAGATAATAGATGTAGCTTATGACTTGCTGAACAAAAATGTAACAGGCTCAAAGCCTTACGTATATGTTTACAAAGCGCTTTGATTTTCTACATAAGATAAGAGTTTTTTATAATAAAAATAATTTTTTTATAAATCAGTAACTACCTAAAAAATCTATCTAAGCTACAACATATGGAGAAAAAAAAACCAGTCAATTTCATCGAAAGCCAAATCTTATGTATTTTTGATGTGTGGGATCTTTTATATATATATATTTTTCCTACTATATATTTTTAAATTTAAATTTATCTATCTAAATCAAAAAATTTTCAAACAGAAAAATTGCGAAACACATTATATTGTCCTGCTAAACTGATTAACTAAGCTTTACGTTGCATAATTGCGTCATTCATGATGTTATGCAATTACGTGCGAAACTGAGAGAAGTGTGAGAATGCGCATTCAATGACGCGATTCATCAGCGTCATCTCAGCAAACACAGTATATAAATGTTATATACTTAAGCATGTTACATGTAACGTATATATGTTAGTTGTAATTTCCCACTCATAGATGTAACATTTTTAATATTTCATATATTACATTGTGATTATATTGTTATTATATCCCAAGATAGCACTGACTTATCAATACATCAATGTGCTATTTGGTATATAATTACAAAATAACTACAATGTAATATATGTTATATTAAAATGTTACATCTATGAGTGGAAAATTACAACTAACATGGATGTTACATGTAACGTGCACGTTATATTACCTGTTATATTCCGTTTTATTATAGCAATATAACAATTATATATCGGTGTTTGCTGGGATTATTTCAGTGTATAATTGTTTTGAACAGAAAAACATATACATGTCTCTATTTTTTCTCAGCAAACTGACCATTCACATGCATTAGTGGCAAGCTGATATCCCTATTTTTAAAACGTGTGAGAAACATTTTTTCGAAATACCAGACATTTCAAAACTAGCAGATCGGAAGCATATTTTGATGAAAAATATTCCAAAAAGTTTATCTTGCAACACTGTGTTTAGAATGACGAAAGATATAAAACCAACAATACATGCATTATCTTTTAACATGATTTTTTATCGTCTCAATAATTGCGTGCTTCTCTGCAGTATTGGTTATACAATCTCCGTAAAAAGTAATTACGCATTGAAGATATTAATATTTATATCCCCCAGATAAAAATAAATGACATAATGTAAATAAAACAGATGAATAACAATATATTTATAATTGAGTAATATTATATATTTACATCCCCAATTTCCACAAGAATAAGAATTTCTATTTCTTTTTGGAATAACTTTTGATCGATGTTTATAAATTACTGTTAAATTTTGTTCATACATGTGTCATTTTTAAATATAATATAAAAAAATCTATAATTTTTTGTTATCTTCGAGATATGACACATATGCAACCTTAAGTATATGACTCTACTATTGGTTGTTCGGTTCCTGATAAAAAGCGGACCCGGATAAAGAGTGGACCTATAATAATGCGATAAGCGCTGCCATATGTTCGCCTGCCATACATACATAATTTTTTAATGTCATCTAATCTATCGCGTTAAAAGAATAAAAGAAATTATTGGTGTAAGTTAATCAGTGAAATGTCGTTATATTTCTCCTGATTCTGTACATTCCATCACATATGTGATAATCCGTTAACTATACAACGCTGTGTGACTACGCAATATACTCTATATACACATCAATGTGCTATCTTATTGTACTCTGTTCTCCGATAACAAGCCGGACTCAACCTGACTCAAATAATAATTTGAATTATTATCTTACGATTCGCTCTTTCGCAAGAAAAATAATTGAGGTATAACAATAACGTTTCGTATACTCTTTTATTTTTGAAAATCATCTAGTTGTGCAAAGTTAAGAGGTTATTTCACTTCAATTACGTTTAAAAAGAAAGTAGCACAGAAATTAGTAATATAAATATTACAATATGATGAAAACTTTTGCGTAATCTTGTTTGATTGATGAAAATGATGAATTTAAGATAAAATTGAGAAATAAAATTTTATGTAAATAATCCTCCTTATTTCTCACGTAAAGAGATAGTATTAATTCAAGTTTTAAAAAATCTTATCTTACGTAGAAAATCAAGGCGTGGCTTTGTAAACATACACGTAAAGTATTGAATTCAATTTCTTCACACAACACACACACATATATTGCTTCATATATAACTTATTCATATATTTCTCTCTCTTCAAATAGTTTTTCATAAATTTTTCTTCACATATTTCTTCTTTATAATATACAGGATGTTAAAAAATTAATTGATAAACTTTGAAGAGAGAAAGAAGACTTTAAAACATTTTTTGTTAATACTAAAATTTTCTCTACAACGTTTAGTTTTAATACTACATATGATAAGAGATATGGGTTTGTGACTTTTCAGTTTGTCACTTTCGTGTTGAAGTTAATAGAAGAATTTTTGAGCACTTTCTGCAAAAAGAGTGACAACGATACTTTTAATCAACGATACTTTTAATAAGGAATGAGCTACATATTATACTACTTATTCAGTCGATTGGGATCCATTTTCCATAAGTTTTGTACAGGCTTCTTTCGTTATATACTAATTTTATCTAAACGTTTAGTTTTAATACTACATGATATGAGATATGAGTTTATGACTTTTCAGTTTGTCACTTTTGTATCGAAGTTAATAGAAGAATTATTAAATAATGGTAATAATTCAATCGACCAATTCTGGCAAATAAGTAGATTTATTGAATTTTCACCACGTTTCGGCCGTGGGTTTCGGCCCTTATCAAGTGCTATAATATAATATTATTATTATTAGAAGAATTATTTTGAGCATTTTCTGTAGAAAGAGTGACAACGGTTCATTCTTTCACCTTGTGCTCATTGACACTTTTCAACAGGAATGAGCTACATTTTCAGCAGATTGGGGTCCATTTTCCATAAGATTTGTGCGGGCTCCTTTCGTTGTATATATATATATATGTATATATATTTGTTTATAGATGTGTTGACTTTAGAAAATTGCACTTCAATTTTCTACATTGCCGGATAAGTTTATTTTTAAATGTTTGAAAAAAATTTCATTTACATCTTTTATGCATCTAATTAAGATCAAGTCGATTATTGAATTTCATTCACACTTCGTAGTAGTTAGACAGAGAAAGGTTCAATTAGCGATTATTTCCTCTCTCTTTTCCCCCTCCTCCCTAACTTTGACACTTGGCGTTTCACCATGGCAACCTCGCGTCTGTCACGCATCCTTCCTCGCCTTCCTTCCACCACTCATCCACATCATTCATTCAGTTTATATTCATTCCATGTAACTACTGTGTCATCGCGCACTCTCACGCCACATGCATTTGTTTTTTCTCCCGTACTCAAAAAAAAAAAAAAAAAACCCGAATTAATCGGAGAATCAGCAGAATTTGATAGGGTAAAAACACACACATTATCGTATTCTTTTAAGCTTCCTCACTTCAGATAACCTTACCTTTTGCAGCTCCTTCTCAAGCTCCAGCGCCCTGATGAGCAGCGGGCCGCGCACCGCGTACTCCATCTTCCGTAAATTCACGAAAACGTTGTCCTCGGTGAGGACCTTGCCGCACGGGCCCGCCGCTACGTTCGCCGCCATACCGCGACACTGAGTGATCGTTTGCTGGAGCATCGAGGAGGATACCGGCCTGCCGTCCGCCATCCCTACCCTTCTGGCGAGCAGCGCCCCGCCGGCACCCTGTCTCGTCGTCGTGGACGCCGTCATTGTCTTGGTCGGCCAGCCGCCGGCGACCACGGCCTTTCGTAGACGTGCGTGCGACATGATTAGGAGCTCTCTTCCACCTCCTCTTCGTCCTGTCTCCCACTACCGAGGGACTACCGTGTTCAATCTTATCACCAGTTGATTTTTTGCGCGGCGTCGATGGTTATTCGTTTGCGTTTTGTGCTGGTTCTCTCTACCTCATCGCTCGATCCTCAGGCTCGTCCGTGGATGTGGATCGAATCGAGGAGAAACCGACGCAGAAAAATTACGCGCACACACCACGTCAGCACAGTGTGACAGGGGAAAGGGACGGGCACGCACACGTTTCCGAGCTTCCAACGAGACGATGTGGAGTTCGATCTAAGCGAAACGCCACCTGGGTCACGCGTAGTCGGAGATGCCTTGGAGATGATGACCCGCGCTAATATGAATGGGTGTGCAAGATGAATCGCTGCCCTGTAAGAAGAGACATTGGGAATTACTCATTCGTCGATGGATTGTTCACGGAAAATTGATTCTAGATACAGATTCCAGCTCCATACAACTTATTCTATACACATCTACAATATTATAACCCATACAGCACAGATTATTGCAATTATATTGCAGCAACGTTGCAATGAGAGATATAGGTGCACAAAATTCCAGCACAATTGTAGCAACATGACATTAATATTTCGGAAATATTGCATGTAATCCAAATTCTATAATTTATATATTGTAATATATACTATATATACATATACCCAGCAAACACCAAGTTACAGCTATATAATTGTTAGTTGTAATTTCCCACTCAAAAATATAATACGTGTATTATAACAATTATATTGTTGAGTGGAAAATTACAACTAACAATTATATAACTGTAACTTGGTATTTGCTGGGTATAATACTGTAATAAAATAATTTTTTGCAATATTGTACAATAAAAGATGTTAACGATAATCAATAATTTTATTATTTTCCAAAAAGCGGACATTTTAACATTGCTGCAATTCAATAGCAATGATGTAGCAACATTTTGCAGTGAATTTGCAATATTGCAATATTGCGGTGAAAGATTGTTGTAATGTTTTTGCAATCTAACGGTGCTGTATGGGTTAGGGGGAAAAGGGGATATATGGAATTAAATCTCTTGTAGAGATTATTCCAATTTTAAATCTTAGCCATGACCAAGTAAAATTTGGTGCCTTGTGCACAGGTATTTAATTCTAACGGAAAAAATTTTAGTTTCGTTGGGATAACGCACTGTCATCCCCGATTTGGCTCTTATTGCCTGTCTTACACTTTAAATTTATATAATTATTATAATTGTTATTTAAATATTTTTGAATCGTGTGGAAAACAGAATGTAGCGAAAAAAATAGAATCCGTTTAACTTGATATTCACTGTGAAACACGGCAGTGATTTAGTGATGGTAAGTATTTCAATCAATGATGTATTAGCAATCTATAGTTCAAGCAGCCATAGAAGAAGAAGAAGAAGAAGAAAAAAAGAAGTGATGGTAAGTAAATAGAGCTACACGAATGCTGGAAGAGTTGAAAAATTACATTTTATTGAGGGTATAATGAATTATTAAATATTTCAATATTGAGCTACATTGTAAATATTGCAGCAATATTATGTAAATATAAGTTAATGTTTTATGGAGATATTGCAAAATATTACTGCTATATTATAATGCAATTACATAGTTCTTTTATTTACAGCTATGCCGTACGTTGAGCTATCTATCTCGCATTTTTGTTACGAAAATTATATAAGTAGCTATTACAATCAATTATTTTTATCAGTATATATCTATATTATTATAAATTTACGAATAAAGTATAAAACGGTAAAAACTGGTATTTTAACCGGTTCTTAAATATCCTTTTAAACTCGAAAATAAGCGTTTCAACAATATTGGTTTTGTTATCAACAATATTGGTCCGATATTTTTCTCGCTTACATCTCTTTAGGATCCGAAGGGAAGATAAGAATTAATAATTTCGAATTGAGATATATTAAACAGGAAACTAGGTTTGGGTTGGGTTAGAATTTTTTCGGAGTGGGAGCACAGACCCGTAACTAGGGCCTAAATACATTTACAAGTGTATACCGATTTGTTATCTGTTGATTTTTACAATGCAACTAATTCAACTGATATTGATTACTACTAGCGAGATACAACTTGTTATATATGAAATGTTTGAAAACATTAAATGTGTTAAAAAGATTAAAATGAAAAAACATTTTGCATACAGTACTTATTACTTACCATTATAGTAGCTCAACTCATTAATATTAGCCGAAGTGTACGAAATATCTACATAAGAAATGACCTAGTAAAATCAGCTGTGCAGTGAAAATCAATATCAACGAGAAATCAATAAAGATGACGGATTGGTACGCGCACTGTAGTAAAAATATAGTTACAGACCTGAGCGCGCGAATTTTATACGACATCAAACTTTGAGCATTATTTATAACTCAAACACTTACGATATTATTGTTTTTAGGATTCTCGACTTTATCCGATTTCCGACCTTCAGAAAAATATTTACTGCAGTATATTGTACGGTGATTGTGACATTCGAATCTGATGTATACATATATTTATACATTTTTACATATGCGGTATCCTGTATGTTTATATGAAATAATACATTTACTCTTTAAAGAATGCGCGAACACGTGGAATAAATTATTATAATAATTACCGTGACCGAAATTATGTGTTGCGAATCACTATCGATTCTTCACGCCTTTCGCGATGTTACTGGTTCGCTTCTTAAAAGTACAATGAGAAAGAGCGGAGAATCCAACGTCGCCAAGATGCGCGCAGGCGCGTCTTATTTTTCGTCTATATGTATATTTTTCTGTAGGTCGTCCAAAATCAGTGATTCTCGAAGCAAATTTAAATAATTCGTAGAATATTCATCAACATCTCAACGAATTGCTTGATAAGTTGGCCTTTTCTAAATACATTAGTTGTTTTGTAGAATATTTACTTTGAACATTTATGTTTGTTAGACAAATCTCATAAATAATGAACTTATATTTATAAATTATATTATAAATAATGAACTTATCGTCTTTTTTTAGATTTTAATTTTTTAGAGCCAAAATTTATTCTTACTTGCATTCCTGCATCTGTTATCTATTTTGTTCTTTCTTTTCATATCTGTTCTGCATTTTTCTTGCCTTTTATAAGAATATTCCATAAAAAATTAAAATAAAAAATGTATACTACCCTCCAATTGACTATAAAAGAGAATCATAAAAATTTGCTGGTAATTATTTGCAAATATTATTATTATATTTATTAACAAAGAAGACAAGCACTGAAAGAGAAACTGAGTATGAAATATATATTTATTGTCAATATAGGAAGAAATAGAAGAAGAAATGAAAGAAATGAAAGAAGAAATAAAAGAACAAATTAAAGAAGGAAGAACACATTGGAGAAGAATAAATAGAAGAAAAACAGGAGAAGAAAATCACAGTTAAGAACAGATCTTGCACTCTTTAACGTTAAAATCGAAATTAACATTGAGAACCATGAGTGTCGAAGGTCGTGTTTTGTGTACTATGAACTTCAAACGATCGACTGAAACTATGGCTGATAAGCGCCCCGTCTTATCATCGGTTTCAATTTAAAGATGTGGAAAGAATAGCTATACACGCGTCGGATAATAAGACGCTTGCGCGTCATCGGCCGTTAAATGACGAAAATAATAAACACGTTGACGTTTGTCGATTGATCACGACCGGGCGATTGACTCTCGGTTGATTAACTATCGGAATAAAACGTTCGGAAAACATATTCCGAAGGTCGTAAATCTATTTGCGTATCTTTTATAGCAATATATACGTGTATCTCGGTATGCAATGTACAATAAAATTTGTCCCAAGTATATTTCCTTCGTAAATTCAAGGATATTATTAACCGAAAATTTTTGCGAGACTTACCTGTTTTCACGACGAGCTTTCCGCTGTCAGCTTTGGTGCCACTTTGGCATAGCAATAAGACTTTAATGCGATTTCGCACGTTTTGTTTTACTATACTCCTCTTCCATATTTTTAGAGCAATTATATAAGAGCGCGTATGGGTGAGTTGAGGTAGTCGAGATACACACATATCTTGTCATGTTTTCTCTGGCAATAATGCGTCATGTTTGAAAATGTGAGCTAAAGAACATATAGTTAAGGATTTACAATCTTTTCGCAAATATTTTAATTTTCAGTTTTTGAAGTTTATGACACACTAAAAATTGCACTGACATTTTTGTGAAGCGAAACATTGACTGGAAGTTTAATAAAAAGTTAGCAATAAAGATAATGTTTAATGTTAGCAGGAAGATGAAATATTAAATTTACTTTAACCTCTGATGCTTTATTGATTCTCTCTTAACAATAGTAGATAATATATGTTAAGAAGTATGTATTAATTAATGTCGAAAAATTACGAGAGATGGAGTAATACATACATAATTCTTGTAATTCTTCATTTCTTACTTTATAGCCTTATATAGAATAAAAAATTCTATTTTATTGACAATAAATTGATTAAACATCACTCTACGTTTAATATTATTATATTAGAATAAAGAAAGTAAAAATAAAAAAAATCATACATATATATCATAATATATAAAATAAATACATTTTTTAAAAACAAATTTTTATTTATTTAATGCAATTTTTGATATCATGATTATTTTATAGAATTTTTTAACTGACATTTTGTAGAACTTTGACAGTAATTTAAAAATCACTAATAATCTTAAATAAATAAATACAAATCCATGTAAAATGAGAAAAATATATGTATAACATTTCTTTTTTTCTGCTGTATAATATATATTATATTGACACGATAATAATTATTACAAATTACAATATTATAAATATTTATATGAACCGTCAATTGAAAAAACAATGTGATTTACATTTAATAAATTTTGATATTTATCGCTCTACATACAATTTAATAACAACTATAACAGTAATTTTCAATAATGACTTACTAATAACAATAAAAATATATTTTATTGTTCGCCACACGCATGGATAAATTATACTTACATACAATTCGCTAGACAATCGTTCCTCCATTAATCCATGCCTTCGTAATGATCACTTTCTCTACCGAGAGTTTACCGAATAAGGATTCAGCTGTATTCCTTGAGAAATTTAATGTGAAATTTTTTTAATGCTTCGAGCATCGTCTTTATTTTTTCTTTTTGCGGCAATATTGTAGTTCGGAAGTGATATGTGCCGGATTTTTGACGCAAACTCAAGCCAGGATTCAAGTAGATTCCAGTGTTTTCTAGCAACTTGAATGTGTAGAAGTCCGGTTCTTGGCCTTTCGCTCGCGCCGTCTCGATCGCCTTCGGTGGCAGGTCAAAGCGTGGGAACACGTACATTGCACCCATTGCTGGATTGGCCTAAAAAGAAAGGAATATTATATGTAAATTAATACAATTGTCGCTCGTATATTGAAAACAAAGTGATAAATATAAGGCCAACTTATCGAGCTGAATATTCGAGATGTTCAGTCAACTACCATTTATTACATGTATAAATTATAAAACTACAGTCATTATATTAAAACTAACGCAAATTACAATCATTCTATAAACGTTTCGACCGCACGCGGTCTTCTTCAGTATAATTATTGAAATATAAATTCTTACAATTCACAAATTTCGATATTATGTGAATTGTAAGAATTTATATTTCAATAATTATACTGAAGAAGACCGCGTGCGGTCGAAACGTTTATAGAATGATTGTAATTTGCGTTAGTTTTAATATAATGACTGTAGTTTTATAATTTATACATGTAATAAATGGTAGTTGACTGAACATCTCGAATATTCAGCTCGATAAGTTGGCCTTATATTTATCACTTTGTTTTGAATATTATATGATTGTAGAAACTTCATTAAAAGAAATAAAAACATTTTGGCGCACCCTTTCCTTTTTATTGATTAAATAAAATTAATAATATTTTTCCATAATTAAAGAACAAAATATTTTTAATTCTTTAATTTAAAAATATGTTCTGTATGTACAATAACATAAAATTGGTAGGTTCACGCTTTGTTTCTAAATGTACTTTAATCGTGAAAAGCATTTTTAATTCTATTCGACCAATAAAAAGAAAAGGGTGCGCAAAAATGTTTTATCGATAAAACAGAACAGCGTTTAGGATTTCTTTTAACTTTAAGGGGTTTCTTTTAGTATCTTTTTCTACAATTATCAAAATGGAGAATATTTTTCGATAAGAGTTAAAGCGTGATTTTTAGATAAGTGGTTTCGCAGAAAAATATCACCTTGTATCCCGGAATATTGTTGATTATATCGACAACTAGCTGCGATTTTTCCGTCAGAGACTGCAGGATTTCTTTCCTCTCTTTCTGAAATTTTTCATACGATGGCTCGTTTGGCTGCGGCTGATTCACCACGACATCCATCACGACTTGGCTGAGCACGCTCGGACACAGCATCGTGGAAATTGATTTCAACAAAACCTTCATCACCTTCGGATCCATGTTGATGATCTCGGCATATCCACCGCGAATCTCGCACTCGCCTATACATCCTAAAAACGATATATTTTAACTCTGAAATTTCTCGAGAATTATTTCTGAATCAAGCTTTAAATTTAATATATGTCATTTAATTAAATTGCAGTTAAGATTGCAAACCTTTGCAATGAAATTAACAAACTCAAATATAGTTTCAAACGGAATCCTTAAATAGCCAAAGTCCAATGTTTTAATTATTGATTTTCCGTCCGACCGTTAATCTTAATTCTATGCTTATTAAATATCTATAATGTTGCGCTGAAGAAGATCCAAAAAGAAGCCGAAACGCTATGTTATATTTGTAATTTTTTTTAATTAAATCTAGATAATTAAATGAATTGATAAGTATAAAAAAATTCTTTGCGTCGCACCATATACGCTAATACTCTTATAGCCAAATCATATAATGATTCTAATTATTTTAATTTTTAGTAGAGCATTTAGAGATTGTTAGTTTCAATCTTATATATTTTAATTATTGTGTTAACGATTCTGATTTTATATTTTTTTCTTACCTTTCGAGATAGACATAAACGACGCAAGCTCTATTTTGGAATACGGCTCGCCCATTTTCGTCACAACTTTCTTGAAGAAATAAAATGCGCTGTCTTTATCATATACATTGTCCTGGTAAACTTCGTCCGCTAACAGAAACAGGTGATTCTTGTGGGCGAAGCGTATGATATTTTCGATGTTTTCGCGGGTAAGTACTTGGCCGGTTGGGTTACCAGGCTTGATCATCACCAATACCCGTGGATTGCACGTGCCTTTGGTCTCATCAAATACTCGTTGCAACTCATTAATTTCCAGCGACCACTTGTTGTCTTCGTCGAGATAGTATCCGATTTGCGCGAGACCAAATTCCGCCAAGGTCGCCGAGTACAGAGGATATTGCGGAATCGGAAGTAGCACACCAGATGATTTGTTATCTATTATTTTGTTGAACAGGTTCAGGAATGACTGAAGAGGAAATTCAGACTTAACTAGCTACTACTACTGCTGCTACTACTGCTGCTACTACTACTACTACTATTACTGCTACTACTACTACTGCTACTACTACTATTACTACTGCTACTACTACTACTACTACTACTACTACTACTACTACTACTACTACTACTACTACTACTACTACTACTACTACTATTGCTACTATTACTACTGCTACTGCTACTTCTACTGTTACCGCTACTGCTACTGCTACTGCTACTACTGCTGCTACTGCTACTGCTACTGTTACTGCTACTACTACTAGTACTATTACTACTACTAGTAGCAAAACTTAAAATCCGCGTGTACCTTGATACCGTCAGTAGCATCATTTGACAGGATGATATTGCGGTAGTCGTAAGGAATATCGCCGTCGCGTTGTTGGATGTAGTTTTCGACATGCTTTCGGATTACCTAAAGGTTTCTTGACGCCCTACAAGAAGAAACTACAGATATTTAATCACAATTTTATATTTTGATGACTGAACTTTCAGAAACTTATTGAAAAGAAGAGTGGTTAAAATTGCATGAGGAAAATATTGTTTTAAACTAGAATAGAATTTTTAAAAGTTGCAATAACAGTAATACTTTAGCCAATTTAATTGATTGAACAATAATATTTGTGTGTGTGAAAGAGAGAGAGAGAGGCCCAATTAGTAATTATTTCCATAACATTGACACTTGGTGTTTCACCATGACAACTTCCTATCTGTCACTGACAGCGCATTCCCTCTCGCTCTCTTTCTATTTCTAATTTACATTCTCTCATTCAATTTATATTTATTGTATGTGCAACTATATTGTATCACCGTACGTTCTAATGCATTTGTTTGTCTTTCCGTATTCGAAAACAAATTAATCGGAACTAGTGATGGAGTAATAATAATGTTGCACACGCTGGTGTTTATTTTTTTTCTTTCAGTTTCCGACTTCAGATGACCTTACTTTCTGTAACTCCTTCTCAATCTCCATCGCCCTGATATACAGTGACCCGCGTACCGCATATTCCATTTTCCGCAGGTTCACGAAGATGTTGTCCTCGGTGAGAACCTTATCAAATGGACCCATTGCTATGTTCACCACCATATGTTGTGACATAAATGATCGTTTGCTGGAGTAGAGGACGCCAGTCTGCCGTCCGGTTATCTTTAACTCGTCACATAGATAAGGCATACACATGACTCAATTCTGATCATAAGTCATCTTTCTGTCAACTGAACACTTTGACTTTGAAAGATAGGTCTTTGACGAAAATATGCCAAGTTTTAGTAATTCTTGGTGCTGTACTTTTTAACAATCGAGTTTGTGATCAACGAATTAGATTTAGGTTGTTCAGAATCTAAGAGACATTAAATAAAAATTAAATAAAATTAAAGTATACAGAGCAGCTTTACTTGAGGAATGGAGTAAGATCAAATAAAATGTTTTAAAAACATTAGTTGATTTTATGCCGCGGTGTTTAGAGATTCTGATAAAAGCAAAGAGAGATCCAACACGTTATTAATTATAAATTAATAATATTATAAAACTTTTTTATTTATGTTATAAAACTTTTGAATTTTGTTTTAGAACATTTGACTTGTGTTATAAAACTTTTGACTCTTTTCGTCATTTAACTACTTATTTATGAAAAATGATCAAATTACAGAAATAAACTGCAGTAAGATAAAATGCAATATTTTTGTTAATGTAAAGTATTTTGTTCATCTATTTTATAATATTTTTAAAATATATGCGTTACATTATATTACTAGTGTATTACTTTATAATAGTATATTAGCTAACAAGTGCAGGGGATCGTAAATCGGCCGAGAGTGCGGAAGTTTGGCGCACGAGGCAAAGCCGAGTGTGACAATCCGCACGATCGGCCGATTTATGACCCGCACATGTTGGCTACGATATTTTGTGTGACCGGTGCGTGGAAAGGGAGCCCTTCCTAAAATTCCATCATGTGCGGAAAGGGCGATTTTTTGCGCGCCGGTTGCACAAAATAAATTTTTAATTTATGACATTTCAATACTGACTACTTATTTTTGATTCCTACTGTACTTTACCGCACAAGTGCGACAAAAGCGCTATAACTTGCTTTACCGCACAGTTTATAAAGTAGTTAATTATTATTTAATATTATCGTTCAATAAATAATACTTATTCTATTTTATGCAATTTTGTTTTTTTATTGTAACTTTAAAACATCGACTTAAGGACATATGTGTATTAAGACTTTTTGACTTAGAATGACATCAAGAATACATAGTTTCAGTGTGGACATCACGTTGTGGGACATCCTGTATATTGCGATTTTATATAGAGCCAGTATGTATTCGTCTTAACTATATACTTTCTGTATCTTTTTTCCATTTTACTCTTTTCTTTGACATCTCTACTTTACGCGTTTTTTCGTCTTTTATCTAAAGAATAATTGTACAAAAATGCAACTGGCAAATTGATATCTCTTATTAATTATCTGAAGTATTGCGAAAGAAACTGATTTAACAATAAGTACATATATATATTGTATATACATAAATTACGAGAATTGGAGGGTAATATATAGGAATTATATAGGAACTTTTTTATAGAATAAAAAAACATTCTCTCTTATCAATAATAAATTGTTCCAACATCATTCTATAATTATCATTATTATATATTAGCATGAAGAAAATAATAATATAAAAAGTCATATTGTATATCTCACACGTTACACATATACAACACACACATGATATATAAAATAAATTTTTTAAAAACATAAATTTTTATTTATTTGATATCATATTTATTTTGAAGAGTATTAATTGATTATTTTGTACAACAGGTTTTTTACAATAATATAAATATATATTATATATTTTTTACAATAATTTAAAAATAACATTTTTTTATGTAAAACTATTTCATATATAGTGCGTGCACTTAGCATTCTTTTATTATTATTATTTTTTTAATACTTATTTTTTCCGTAATGCGTCAAACAAGAAAATAATAGCATAAAAGTAAAAAATATCGTTATTGTTGAAAATGAATAACAACATCTATAAAAATGAGAAAGAAAAAATATAAGTCTCATAGTAAAATATAAATGTATATATAACATTCATAATATTCTGTTGTATAATATATATATATCATAATTGACACGACAATAATTATGACGATATTTACAAATATTTATAAATTATGATATTTGTGAATCTTTAAAATGTGATTTACATTCAATAAATTTTGATTTCCATCACATACTCTCTATACAATTTAATAACAACTTTATAACAGTAGTTCATAATAATAACTTATTATAATTATAACATTAAAATATATTTTAGATTTGCCACGTTTAAACTGTAAAAATTAATCTTTAACGCAAATATATGTATATACATATAATCCCCTCGTTCTCGTTAATCCATTCCTTCGTACCTTCTCTATCAGGAGATTTAGCTGTATTCCTTGAGAAACTTGATGTGAAATTGTTTCAACGCTTCAAGCATCGTCTTCAACTTCTCTTTTTGCGGCAGTATTGTAGTCCGGAAGTGATATGTGCCGGATTTTTGACCAAAACGCGAGCCCGGAATCACGCAGATTCCAGTGTTTTCCAGTAGCTTTATTGCATAGAAGAGGTCCGGTTCCTGGTCTTTTGCTCTCGCTGTCTCGATCGCCTTTAGTGGCAGGTCAAAACGTGGGAACACAAACATGGAGCCCAGTCCTGAATTGGTCTAAAAAGGTAAAAATATTATAAGAATGTAAAACTACCCCTATAAAAAAATATATACTCAACTTTAATTGTTAACACTCCAATTTGGGTATTAATTTTAAGATTTAATCTTCAACCTTATAATTTAAATATTAACATTCTAATTGAAGCATAGGTTGAGTGCTTGTCAGTAAATTTTAGTGGTTTAACATTTTAATTTGGGTATACATTGAGCGTTGACCATTAAGTTTGATGTAAATTAATTGGTTTAATTTAAGTAAGTTTAACTTTAATGAGAGGTATAGATAGGGATTATCTCTTAATGATGAGTAAGTTCGAAGTTGACTCTTATCACTGGGAAAATTGAAAACATTTGAATATGAGGTTTAATCTCACTTTAGGTATTATTTTTATTTGGAGATCCTTATTTTCAAACTGTTTTTATGGTTAACCATAAATTAACTCTATTAATTAAAGATTATTCTTTAATTAGTGATCCAAAATTATACTCAACTTTGGAAGTTTTTTGGTGTTTTTTGGTTCTTTTTTACGACTAAAACTAAATCTGAGTGTACTTTTCCGTGAGAGTTTAAGTGCGATCTTTAGGGTAGTTTTGCAATAAGATCCCAAGGAGAACAGAAAGTCAAAATGATGTCAATTTGACGACATATTGACTAAATATTGACAAAAAATGACATAAATTTAGTCAATATGACGTCAAATTGACATTATTTTGACTTTTCTGTTCTCCTTGGGATTACATCACCTTGCATCCTGGAATACTGTTGAGCATATCGACGATTAGCCGTGATCTCTCCGTCAGAGACTGTATGATCTCTTTCTTCTCTTTTTGAAATTTCTTGTACGATGGCTCGTTTGGTTGCGGCGGATTCGCCAGGACAAACAGCACAACCTGACCGAGAACGCTCGGGCACAGCGTCGTAGAAACCGAGTTTAGCAACACGTCCATCACATCCGGATCCATATTGATGATCTCGCTATATCCACCGCGAATCCCGCACTCGGCTATGTATCCTGAAAGCCAGATATTTTTTAGTTCTTAAATTTCCTGAGAAATATATATTTTGAAATTTAAAAGGGGATGCTGACTATGTCTGTTTTATGTATTGACTATATAAAATGAAAAATTCTTTACTATAGAATTAAAGTATTTATAATTACAAATCTGGATTACTATACATCAAGAGATATGGTAGTGTCTTGTGCTAAGTCCGGAAAAGAAAGAAAAAGACACGCCGTGTCTCTTTACGCGAGTCAGGCAGTTGAGAGTACTCGATATTTTCAGTTCTCATATAACTGCTGAACGGATCGAGTTCTAAATAGTCTTAATCGAAAAATTGGGTCTCAGTTATATAATGAAAGTGTTTTTATTTTTACGCTAACGTGCTATAAAAACAGAGAAATCATGTATAAAGTCTCTATCGTGAAAATTTCAAGTAAGAAATGTCTTCGTCGTCGTCGTCTTTATCATCGTCGACCACTTTTGATATATATACCATATATACATATTTTTTGTATATTTAATTAAATATATTTGATTATATACATATTTGAAAAAATTATATTTTATTCTTTATGTATATAACAATGGTAATATGTTTTACATCTATAATAGTATATTGTGTATCAAGTGCGGAAAGTTGACAATTGGTCACGAGTGCGGGAGGTGGACGCACGAGTCGAAGGCGCGTTTTCTGTGCGCGAGATGGCCGATCGCACGCCGCCATCTTGCGGCGGCAAGGTGCGGAAATAGCCGTGTTCAAAGTCATTGCCCATGGCATTCAGCCGTGGCTGAAGCCGTGGGCAATGACTTTAAACGTGACTCAGCTGTAGGCAATGGCTTTAAATGCGGCTTATTCACTCACCGCGTCGCCGCTAGATGGCGGCGTGGGAAATCGGCCGCTTTCGCACAGAAAACACGCACACAAAGTGCCACTTTGCCTGTACGTGTAATACAAATTCTTTTTGCGTTATTATAACCTGTTTCTGAGGTTTTGTTGCATGATATAATTATACTCATACCAAATATTTACGTATATAAACTTTTTATTATTTTTTATATAATTTATGTAGATAAATATTAAAAATTAGAAATTAAAAAAAATAAATGTATAGTACAAAAAAGAGTGATATCCCTAAAAAAATTACCTTTTAAAAAAAGGTAAAAAAAAGGTGCTAAGTCCACGTAATGTCCCTGTAAAAATTTATCTTACAAAATTAATAATATAAAAAAATTATGCTAAGTAAAAATAAAAACTTTAAAATATTTTAATTTTATTTTTTAATTAACCAAAAAGATTATATAAAATAATTTTTTAATTGCCTACATCCTACAAAAATATTAAATATTTACAATAATTAAAAAAATTAAAATTAAAAAATTTTTTTAAATATATAAAAATTAAATATTAAAAAAAATAAAAAATAAAAATTTTTTTAAATTAAAAAATTAAAAAAACTTAGCACTGCGAAATTAAACAAACAATATGTTAAAATTAATGTATTTCTTTGCTTCAATGTTCTTCAATTAAAGTTTAGCAGTGCTAAGTTTTTTTAATTTTTATTTTAAGAAAATTTTTTATTTTTTAATTTTTTTTAATAGTTAATTTTTATATATTTTTTTAATTTTTTAAATTTTAATTTTTTTATTTTTGATTTTTTTAATTATTGCAAATTTTTAATATTATATATATATATATATATATATATATATATGTATATATTATATATAAAACATTTTGATGATCTTTTGCATTAAGTCAACCTAATCTAATCGATAAGAAAACTGTAATCATATATATTATTTAACTTTCTTGGTTTTTTATATGTACATATATATATATATATATATATATATATATATATATATAATAGCCCAGATTTATTATTATGAATACTTTAATTCTAGTAAAGGATTTTTCATTCTGTATAGCCGATAAATAATTAAATAAAAATAATATTTATCAATAAAACAAACATAATCAGCATTCCTTTTGCAATATAATTGACAAACTCGCAAGCGTTAGAACAGAATTCTCCTTAAAACAGAATTTTCCTTAAAACAGAATTCTCCTTAAATTGTCAATCTAATGTTATTGTTAACGATTCTAGTGATTTCATTTTTTTTACCTTTCGAAACGGACATAAATGATGCGAGTTCCATTTTGGAATAAGGTTCGCCCATCTCTGTCATGACCTTCTTGAAGGAATGAAACGCGTACTTTTTATCATATACATTGTGTTGATAAACTTCGTCCGCTAGCAGAAACAGGTGATTCTTGTGGGCGAAGCGAATGACATTTTCGATGTTCGCGCGTGTAAGTACATGGCCGGTTGGGTTACCAGGATTGATCACCACTAATACTCGTGGATTGCAAGTGTCTTTTGCCTCCTCAAGTGCTCGTTCTAATTCATCAACTTCCAACGACCACTTGTTGTCTTCGTTGAGGTAGTATTCGATCTGCGCGAGACCAAATTCTGCTAAAGTTGCCGAGTATAGATAATATTGCGGAATTGGGACCAGTACGCCGGATGGTTTCTCGTCGATTACTTCATTGAATAATTTCAGAAATGACTGAAGAAGAAAATTGAAAATCAGATTAAAAAAGACAATGCAGAAAAACAAGATGCAGTACAGGAGATCCTAAACGCCTGTTTTATCGATAAAATTTCATTTTTGCGCACCCTTTTTTTCTTATTAATTGAGTAGAATAATAAAAATGCTCTGTAATATAAATATAAATTTAAAGTGTAAAACAGGCAATAAGAGCCAAATCGCGGATGACAGTGCGTTATCCCAACGAAACTAAAATTTTTTTCCGTTAGAGTTGTAGATTGTGGAAGAGCAGTCGCCCGGTAAGCGAAAGATCTCGGGTTTGATTCCCGATTCAGCGACTTTTGGATCTATATTTTTCTCTCGCATTTATTTCCTTAGGAAGGAAGAGGGGATGTATGGAATTAAATCTCTTGTAGAGATTATTCCAATTTTAAATCTTGGCCTTGATCAAGTAAAATTTGGTGCCTTGTGCACAGGTATTTAATTTCAACGGAAAAAAATTTTAATTTCGTTGGGATAACGCACTGTCATCCGCGATTTGGCTCTTATTGCTTGTCTTACACTTTAAATTTAAATAAAAATACTTTTCCACGATTGAAGTATACATATAAAAACAAAGCGCGAACCTATTGATTTTATATTAAGAACAAAAAATTAATTTTTAATTATAAAATTTTTTTAGTTTTTAACATAAAATCGGTAGGTTACGCTTTGTTTTTATATATAATTTAATCGTGGAAAAACATTTATTATTCTATTCAATAAAAAGAAAAGGATGCTAAAAAATTATGTTTTATCAATAAAACAGGACGGCGTTTCCCAGTAGCACCATGTCTAAAATTAGTGCATAAGACATTATTAAGAAATCTTTATATAAGACATCTTTAAGAAATTTTATCATATAATATCCCAAATATATCTTAAAAACATCTTAAAGATATCTTATGCACCAATTTTGGACATGGTGCTATCTAGATTAGGATCCTTTTAAGGGGTTAATATTGAAAAATAGTAGCAAAACTTAAAATCTGCGCACACCTTGATAATGTCAGAAGCGCCATTTGACAAGATAATGTCGCGATAGTCGCAAGGAATACCACCGTCGCGTTGTTGGATGTAGTTCGCGACATGCTTTCGGATCACCTCGATGCCAGCCGATTCCGAATACGAGCCCACGCTTCCACCCTTGCAGCCGTTGAGGACTGTTCGGGCGCGTTCTTTCGCGTCTTCCGGGTAACTTGGATCGTCCAACAGATTTGGCAAGACTGTCAGAGTCAGCACCTGTCGTAGAAATGTGATGGGCTGCTGGCCCATCGCGTGAGCGTCGCCCGAGTTCACTTTGATCACCTCATTGAAAGGTTTCTTGGCGCTCTACGAGAAGAAAGTGCAGATATTATTTAATTCTAAATTTTGACGAACTTTAAAAGACTTGTTGAGAAAAAGACCGATTGAAATTTTATTTGGAAAAGTGCTGTTTTAAATTAGAATAGAATTTTCAAATTGCAATAAAATATAGTAAATAGTAAATAGTCACATGAATTGATGGTTATGTGTACATTTAAGAAAAAATATGTTTGACGCTGTAACTATCTATTATTTAGTTTTGTGTTTATTATAATTTTTGTTCAGCAAGTCACAAGTTATAACACGTAAGAAAATCAGCTGATTTTATCGGAATTCAATTTTAGAGGATTTTATATAAGTTCCAAAATCCCGTACTAATCATAAAATTAAATCTTGATCTAAGATCAGCTGATTTTCTCATATGTTGTAGCTTACGATCTACTAAATAAAAATGTAATAGACTCAAAGATAAATAATAGACAGTTACTGCTTAGACAGCATCATATCCAAAATTGATACATAAAACATCTTTAAGATGTTTTTAAGATGTTTTTCGGATATCATGTCATAAGATATCTTAAAGATATCTTAAATATTTCTTAATAGTGTCTTATTTACCAATTTTGGACATGGTGCTATTTGGGTGATTTACAGCCAGTTAAATACGAAAACTTTTTCGGACTTTAGGAGTAGTTTAACGGATTGTAACTGCCCAATATTTAGCTTTGAGGCCATTACATTTTTTGTTCAGCAGGGCATAAGCCAATATATGAAAAAAAACAGCTAGTTCCATCGAAAGTTAAAATCCTATTATTTGATGCCAAGTCCTTTTATATCCTCTCATCAGTTTCTGATTTTACAGCCTTACTTTCTGCAGCTCCTTCTCGAGCTCCAGTGCTCTGGTATTCAGTGGCCCGTACATGTACTCTATCTTACGCAGGTTCACGAAGACGTTGTCCTTAGTGAGGACCTTGTTACACGTATGCGTTGCTGGGTTTATCATTATGCTGCGACATAAAGGTGATCGTTTGCTGGAAAAGCACAGAGGACATTGAGCCGTAATCCATTTATCTTTAAGCCATTATATAAATCAAGCTTACACGTATCTCAATTCGGTTATATAAATCGCATCTTTAAGTCTTCTTTCCTTCAACTAAACGCTTTGACTAAAAGATATCCTTGGCGAAAAAGTTTTCGTAATTCTTATTTAGACAACTGCTATATGTATAATGTTTTAAGAATCGCGTTTATGATCAATGATTATTAGATTAGGTTGATGTGCAAGGCAACTTGCACATTGCCATACACACATAATTTAAAAACTTTCTTAATGAGTGAAATTAAATTATAATCGGGCAATGCGCAAGTTAAGCTTTCTCTATGAGAAAACAGGAAATCATAATTGAAAAATTATTCTAATTATAGCGAAATAATGTGTTGAGGAAGCATAAAATAATTTTTACACGCTTTTTACTAGTTACGCTCAGTAAATAATAATTAAAGAGTAACAAATGGACAAAGAGCAAGAACACGATCTTGGTGTAAAGTTATAATAAAGCCCGGTTAATAATTGCCATATAAAAATAGCAGGTTCCATTTGAAGGAAATTGAAGGTGACCTTTACGTGGCCTTTAAGTGATTATACAAGGTCAAATCAATAACATCATTTTATGTTCCCCTCTTAGTCAAAAAACTTTTGTTCAAAACATGTTTTTCCATCTTGCTTATTATACGAGATATTTACATGCGTTGATTAAAATGGCTCACCCTGTATATATATATATATATATATATATATATATATATACAGGGTGGGCCATTTTAATCCGTCCACGGGAATATCTCCTCAGGTAGGGGCTATCTCCTCAGATTTTGTGATCTAATATTTCAGTCCCTTCCCAATCAAAAGTGTGCTTATTATTTAAAATATGTATAAGCACACTTTTGATTGGGAAGGGACTGAAATATTAGATCACAAAATCAACTACAATAAAAGACTTATGTCTGAAATGTTATACATAAAAGAACATAAAAATAGTATAAATTTAAAGAAAGACATCGAATCTCTTGAAAGCTGTTATTTTTACATTTTACAAGAATTATCTGACACTTTTTTAAAAACAAATTAACCTTTAACTACTGACAACACTATTGACTATATAAACAGGCTATGATATAACAAGGACACGCATTATTCCTCTGAATTGCTGAGTCGCAACAACCAACACATAACATCAATATGTAAGTTAATACAAATTTATATTTTCCGAGTGTTCTTCATTAGAATCCTTTTAACATATCTATTTTGAAAAAAGGATTGAAAAATGGGACTCATCTCGCGAAGATGCCGGAGCAGACTGTTTGCGCTGTTCAACGACGAATTTGGGCTCCGTGCATTTATTTGAGAGATGGTCTTAAACATAAGACATCTAAGAATAGTTGTTTCAATCATTGTAATTAAATCGAATGATAATCGAAGTTCGTCTTTACGCAGTTTGCGAGATTATGTTTAAATTTCTTTATTATATTTTATAATTTTATACTTGCGGTTTTGTGATTGTATTGATAAAGACCTAGTAAGGTCGAAACGTCTACATTTATATTATAAATAAATAATTTTTAATTATCCTTGCATCTAAATTATTTTTGCTCGTTTATTTGGCCTATTATTTATGTTTTATTAATTTTAAATTTTACACGAGCGTTAACTTATATTTTTATTGTTTTAATTTACTTTAATTATCTTTGACGTTTTCATTCTTTCCTAACAATATGTTAAGAAAGTAGACAATATGATAAGAAAATTATGTAATTAGGTCTCATAAGATCCGAAAATGACGTCGATATGTTATATCCATGAATGTCATTTTTTGACGTAATATGACTAATGTAAGACTTAAAATTGACGAAACTTAAAAATTTTATTTGTTCTTAACATAAAATCGACAGATCCGCGCTTTGTTTCTATATATACTTTAATCACAGGAAAGCACTTCTTATTTTATTCAACCAATTAAGAGAAAAGGATGCGTAAAAAAGTTCGATCGATAAAACATTATTTTTGTGCATCCTTTTTTTATTAATTGAATACAATAAAAAATGCTTTTCCACGATTAAAGTACATATAAAAACAAAGCGTGAACTTATCGTATTTTATGTTAAGAACAAAAAAAATTTTTAATTTCTTAATTTAATTTCTTTATTCAATCAATAAAAAGGAAAAGGTGCACAATAATTATGTTTTATCGATAAAACAGAACAGCGTTTCGGATCCCCTTAACTGAGTTCACGCAAACACAAAAATTTATCAAAGAACGTATAATTAATGACTTACAACACGGGTAGCTTCTTCGATAAAATCTTCGACAGCTCCTGGATACGATATCGCCAACTCATCTATAAAGGTTTAGGGAGGTGGTCACGTCTGGACTTTAGGACGAGCGACACGAGAATTAAGGATCTATTTGTTTAGCTCCGAGTTGATAGCAGAGTTTATCAATCTTGCGCGAGAGGGGATGCGAGAACGCGTGGCCAATTACTGCATCGTATCGCTTATCGCCGGCCTACCGTGATTAGGGGCAAAACCGTAATTAGAAGCGACGAGCCCCTTAAATTTGTTTTGACTCGCGATAATTTTCTTATGCGCTATTTGCGTGCTTTTTATAAGGAACGGCTCTATTATTTGGGTTCCTGGACTGTGTAGATTCAAGAGGTGCGCGTAAAATTAGTTTTTGTTCAATTTTACTGGACCGCAACGTGATGATTTTTGCTCTCTGCTGTTCGGGGTGAGTTCAGTGCCTTTTGGGGTAGCGGCCCTGAGCCATCGTGAGAATTTACGCTCTTCTTTCCTTAGCGGTTAGGAGGTTTATCTGGCTGAATTCCTTAATTCAGCAATAATGATGACTTTCGGTATATTTGTTTGTTTTTGTAGGAAATCGGCTCTGTTATTGTTATTGCTGCTCGTCTTTATTGTTGATCTTTATTATTGTTGGTCGAATTATGTTTCTTTCCGACTATGTCGAGAATAACGTTTGCAGCAAAGATTGCAGCAACCGCTTTCAGAAATATTGTTCTATAACATTGCAGCAATAATGCAATAAAATATATATGTAATATTACTATATGTATATTATGTAATATTACCTAATATTTTTTGTGTAAATTTTATTTTCATAATATTTTTAAAATGTTGCTGCAACGTTGTATAAACTATATTGCAAATTCATGCCTATATAATATTTCTGCAATATTGCTATGCAATGTACAATATTGCAATGTTGTTGCAATATTGCTGCAAACTTGTGTGCTGTATGGGAATACACGTATTATATTTTTGAGTGGGAAATTACAACTAACAATTATATAGCTGTAACTTGGTGTTTGCTGGGTATATATATATGTATATAGAATTTGGATTACATGTAATATTTCCGAAATATTAATGTCATGTTGCTACAAGTGTGCTGAAATTTTGTGCACCTATATCTCTGCAATGTCTTTATAATGTTGCATTGCAACTTGCAACATTGCAACGTTGCTGCAATATAATTGCAATAATCTGTGCTGTATGGGATTATTGAGATATGAAACGTATCAACGTAAATGTTTTTACTCATATATACTTATCTCTCAATTTTTTCTATAATAAAGTCTTCGTGATAGATTCAGCTGCTTCTATAAGTTCTAGCAATGGTTTTGAACACTCGTTTCTTTTATCCATTTTATCATTCTTTTTTGTAACTTAATGTGCCTTCAACCAGTTTTAGTCCAGTTCTGATTATTTAGGCACTTTGAACACTTTAACACTTTTCAATGCACTTATACAGTCTTGTACACTTTGTCACGTTATTATTCTTTCAACTGATTGAGTCTTATTGTACGGCATATGCTCCATTTCTTAAGCGTTGTCACGTGCATTGCAGACGACGCTTTACTTTCCAGATCGGCTATGTGGCGCACTCGTCGTCTTGGTTCCTTAACTAACATCCCAGCAAACACAGTATATAAATGTTATATACTTAAGCATGTTACATGTAACGTATATGTTAGTTGTAATTTCCCACTCATAGATGTAACATTTTTAATATTACATATATTACATTGTAGTTATATTGTCATTATATCCCAAGATAGCACTGACTTATCAATATATCAAGTGTTATTTGGTATATAATTACAATATAACTACAATGTAATATATGTTATATTAAAATGTTACATCTATGAGTGGGAAATTACAACTAACATGGATATTACATGTAACGTACACGTTATATTACCTGTTATATTCCGTTTTATTATAGCAATGTAACAATTATATATCGGTGTTTGCTGGGATTATTCTCATACAATTTTATTTATATTATTCAAATATTCCCATACTAATTTCATTGAGTCTAAATTACATTTTTTAAATCGTCTCTTTACGTCATACGGATATTTTATATCCCATTTTACTATTTTCGCATACAATTTAATCCTCTCCTCATCATATAAATTACAATTCTATAATATATGTTCTATATCTTGTATTTCCGCTTTACATTCGCATCTCGCACTATCAATATAGTTTTTCCTGGCTAACGATTCATTTAAATTGTAATAGTTCGCTCTTAATCTATTAATTAACGTCACTAATCCTCTTTTAACATTGCATTCTCTAAACCAAGGTCTATTATTATCTCTTTTATAATAATTATCAAAGTAAACCTTTCCATTATATATTCCTTCCATTTCAATTTTATATAAGTTATATTTAGCATTTCTTTTTGAAAAATTTCTTTCAGTCTCCATATGGAACATATATTCTGTCACGGAATAATGAGACCTATCAATTGATGTAAAAAAACACAAAGTTATATATATAATACTCTTTCAATATGATTATTATTACTAGATTAAAAAATAAAAAAATCAGCCTACTATTTCTTTTATAAAAATATAATTGTTGATATATAATATAAGGAAGAAAACATAATATAAGATAAAAAGAATGACACAAAGAAAAAAATTTAATAATGTATATAATAAATAAATTTTTTAAAACAAATTTTTATTTATTTAGCGCAATTTTTGAAGTCATAATTATTTTGTAGAGTTTTTAATTGACATTATTTTATAGAATAGTTTTTTATAATAATTTAAAAATAATACTATTTCTTATGTAACATTCTCACATATAGTGCGTGCATTCGGCGTCCTTTTTATCTTTTTTTTAAAAAAGATCTTCATAATGTGGCAAACAAGAAAACAATGGATAAAAGAAAAATGGTTATTGTTGAAAATGAATAAGAATCTCATATGTAAGAATAAGAAAAAATTATAGAAGTCTCATTATAATATATGTATATTATAAGATTCATTTTTTATGTTGTATAATATACGTTATATTATACAACATAACAATAATTACAATATTTATAAATCTTTACAATGTAATTTACATTTCATAAATTTTTCTTTCCACTATATATACAATCTAATAAATCTATACACAATTTAATAAAAACTCAGTGACAGTAAAATTTTCAATAATGATTAATTAATTGTAACAAAAATATATTTTACATCCATATTTAAACTAGAAATTAATGTTTAATACAAATATACATACCATTCCATAAACAATCGTACCTTGTTAATCCTTCGTAATGGTCACTTTCTCTACTAATAAAGTATATAGAATAAGGATTTAGCTGTATTCCTTCAAAAACTTGATGTGAAATTCCTTCAACGCTTCCAGCATCGTTTTTATTTTTCTTTTTGCGGCAGTATTGTAGTTCGGAAGTGATATGTGCCGGGTTTTTGCCTAAAAGTCGAACCCGGAATTATACAGATTCCAGTGTTTTCCAGTAGCTTTATTGCATAGAAGAGGTCCGGTTCCTGGTCTTTTGCTCTCGCTGTCTCGATCGCCTTTAGTGGCAGGTCAAAACGTGGGAACACAAACATGGAGCCCAGTCCTGAATTGGTCTAAAAAGGTAAAAATATTATAAGAATGTAAAACTACCCCTATAAAAAAATATATACCCAACTTTGATTATTAACACTCAAATTTGAGTATTGGCCATTATTAAGATTTAATCTTCAACCTTATAATTTAAATATTAACATTCTAATTCAGGCGTAGGTTGAGTGTTTGTCATTAAATTTGAACGTTTTAACACTTTTTGAGTATACATTGAGCGTTGACTATTAAGTTTGATGTAAGTTAATTGGTTTAATTTAAGTAGGTTTAATTTCAATGATAAATATAGATAGGGATTATCTCTTAATGATGAGTAAGTTGGAGGTTGACTCTTATCAAATTGAAAACATCTGAATATGAGGTTTAATCTCACTTTAGGTATTACTTTTATTTGGGGTTCTTATTTTCAAACTATTTTTATGGTTAATCATTAATGAACTCTATTATTTAAAGATTATTCTTTAATTAGTGATCCAAAATTATACTCAACTTCGGAGGTTTTTGGTGTTTTTTTTTTTTTGACGATTAAAACTAAATCTGAGTGTGTGTACTTTCCCCTAAGAGTTTAAGCGCGATCTTCAACATAATTTTGTAATAAGATCACATCACCTTGTATCCTGGAATACTGTTGAGCATATGGACGATTAGTCGTGATCTCTCCATCAGAGACTGTATGACCTCCTTCTTCTCTTTCTGAAATTCTTCGTACGATGGCTCGTTTGGCTGCGGCGGATTCGCCAGGACAAACAGCCCGACCTGGCCGAGGACGTTCGGGCACAGCATCGTGGAAACCGATCTCATCAACACGTCCATCACATCCGGATCCATGTTGATGATTTCGGCGTAACCACCGCGAATCCCGCACTCGCCCATGTATCCTAAAAGCCAGATATTTTTTAGCTCTTAAATTTCCTGAAAAATATTTCTAAATCAAGATTATATCCTTCAATGTTATATAATTAAATTGCAGTTAAAGGGATGCTGACTATAGAGCTATGTCTGTTTTATAGACAAATATTATTTTTATTTAACTATTTATTGACTATACAGAATGAAAAATCTATTATTAGAATTAAAGTATTTATAATAACAAATTTGGACTACTATACATATATATATATATACGGCTATACGGAATGAAAAATTCTTTACTAGAATTAAAGTATTCATAATAATAAATCTGGACTATTATATATATATAATAGCCCAGATTTATTATTATGAATACTTTAATTCTAGTAAAGAATTTTTCATTCCGTATAGCCGTATATATATATATGTATAGTAGTCCAAATTTGTTTAGAAATATTGATTAGAAATATTGATTTAGATATAATCTTGATTTAGAAATATTATATATATATATATATATATATATATATATATATAATAGTCCAGATTTATTATTATGAATACTTTAATTCTAGTAAAGAATTTTTCATTCCGTATAGCCAATAAATAATTAAATAAAAATAACATTTGTCGATAAAACAAAAATAATTAGCATCTCTTTTGCGATATAATTAACAAACTCGCAAGTGTTAGAACAGAATTCTCCTTAAATTGTCAATCCAATGTTATTGTTAACGATTCTAGTGATTTCATTTTTTTTACCTTTCGAAACGGACATAAATGATGCGAGTTCCATTTTGGAATAAGGCTCGCCCATCTCTGTCATGACCTTCTTGAAGGAATAAAACGCGTACTTTTTATCATATACATTGTGTTGATAAACTTCGTCCGCTAACAGAAACAGGTGATTCTTGTGGGCGAAGCGAATGACATTTTCGATGTTCGCGCGAGTAAGTACTTGGCCGGTTGGATTACCAGGATTGATCACCACCAATACTCGTGGATTGCACCTGCCTTTTGCCTCCTCAAGTACTCGTTCCAATTCATCAACTTCCAGCGACCACTTGTTGTCTTCGTCGAGGTAGTATTCGATCTGCGCGAGACCAAATTCTGCCAAGATTGCCGTGTAAAGAGGATACTGTGGAGTCGGGATCAGCACGCCGGATGGTTTCTCGTCGATTATTTCGTTGAACAGTTTCAGAAATGACTGAAGAAGAAAATTGAAATCATATTAAAAAAAAAAAAAAACAATGCGGAATAGGGGATCCTAAATGTCGTCCTGTTTTATATCGATAACATTTCATTTTTGCGTACTCTTTTCTTTTTATTAATTGAATAGAATAATAAATGCTTTTTCACGATTGAAGTACAGTACCCTTCACAAGTTTGGAAACATCTTACATTTTACAGTTAAACAATTGCATGGCAGCGATCTGTCATAAATAAAGATGTCATTAAATATTTTATTATTTATTCATACAAAATTCATACAAAAAATCTGCACAGATCTGCCAAAAGGATCCTCTTAGTTTAAAAGAAAAATTCTCTAAAGGAATTTTTCAATTAGATATTCGTAACATGCAAGAATATATACTTAATGATGTTTTTTATCAGTATATTATTTGAAATATTATTAATCGTGATAACAAAAAAACAGTCTTATAAATGGACATTTGTTATTTATTGCATACAGTACCCTTCAAAAGTTTGGAAACATTGTACATTCTACAGTTAAACAAACAATCGCATGGCAGTGATCTGTCATAAATAAAAATGTCATTTAAATATTTTGCAATTTATTCATACAAAAAATTTGCACAGATCGCTGTCATACGATTGTTTAACTGTAAAATATGTAAAGTGTTTTCAAACTTGTGAAGGGTACTGTACATATAGAAACAAAGCGTGGACCTGCCGATTTTATGTTGCAAACATAAAAAAATTTATATTTTAATTTAAAAAGTTTTTTTAACATAAAATTAATTGGTATCTTTAATTGTGAAAAAGCATTTGTTATTCTATTCACTCAAAAAGAAAAGAATGCTCAAAAATTGTTTTATCAATGAAATAGGACGGCGTTTATTAGGATCCCTTTAAGAGGTTCATATTGAAAAATAGTAGCAAAACTTAAAATCCGCACACACTTTAATGATCTCAGAAGCGCCATTTGACAGGATGATGTTGCGGTAGTCGGAAGGAATACCGCCGTCACGTTGTTGAATGTAGTTTGCGACGTGCTTCCGGATTACCTCGATGCCATCTGATTCCGAGTACGAGCCTACACTACCGCCCTTACAGTCTTTAAGGATTGTGCGGGCTCGTTCCTTTGCGTCTTCCGGGTAACTCGGATCGTCCAATAGCTTTGGCCAGACTGTCAGATTCAGCACCTGTCGTACAAACGTGATGGGCTGCTGACCCATCGCGTGAGCGTCGCCCACGTTTACTTTGATTATCTCATTGAAAGGTTTCTTGACGCCCTACCAAAAGATAATATAGATAATTAGATATTTATTTATATTTAACTTTTTCTATACTCAAATAACAAATTAATCGGAAATGGTAAAATTTTATAGGGTAATAATGGATTTGTTCTTTATCGCTGGTGAACTAGAATATACTGGTGCAATAAAAGTTAGATTGAGACAGAGAGTTTGTTTTTTATTGCTGCACTAGTTTTATTGTTGAACTAGTGCAATAAGTTAGAGTGAGACAAATATATTTTGTTTCACTCTAACTTACTGCAACAGTTTGCACTAGTTCACCAGTGCAACAATAAGGAACAAACCTACAATATATTTATTTTACTTTAGGCTTCTTCTTTGATTGCATCAGTTCACTGGTGCAACAATAATCCAATAAAAATATAAAAAAAAACAATATAAAATTTTATAGAAATATATAAAATTATACATGTAATCGCAAAATTATATATGAAATATGTCCATACATAATTAGATAAAAGTGCTTTTTATACATAATTATATAAATATATATATATATATATATATATATATGTAATAAATAATTCTTCATATACATATATAAATATATATGTTTCATATATAATTTGACATGATTATATGTATATGAATAATAATTTATATATAAATTTGTAATTATATTTAAATTTGTAATTATATATAATTTTACGATTATAGGTATGTATAATTATACAATTATTTATATATAATTATATATATATAAAAATTTTACCGAGAGAGAACAAACCCAATGTCACACATGGTTCTCTTTCATCATCCACGTAGAACAAAAAAGTCTAAATAGTATCAATTTGACGTCTTTTGGACTCCAAGTTTGATCATATATAATGTTAAATTGGCATTATTTGGACTTTTCTACTTGGGCAGTTTCCATTTTCAGAACCTTACCCTCTGCAACTCCTTTTCAAGCTCCAGCGCCCTGATGTTCAGTGGCCCACGCACATATTCTATCTTGCGCAGGTTCGCGAAAACGTTGTCCTTAGTGAGAATTTTGTCGCACGGATTCGCTGCTGTTTTCGCTACCATGTCGCAACACAAAGTGATCTCTTTTGCTGAAGCAGGGCGAAGGATGCTAACTTGCCAATCATCTTTAAGTTATCATATAAATAGATAAGGATTACGCGTGAATCATTTCATGTCATAAGGTATCTTCGAATCATCTTTCCGTCAACTAAACGATTTAATTGGGATGAATTTTTGATGAAAATATGTAAGTAATATTCTTGGTGCTCTATAGGCACTTTTTAACAATCGAATTTGAGATCAATGAATTAGATTAGATTGTTCGGAATGTAGGAGAGATTATATGATAAAGGATAGACGCAAAGATATATTGCGATTTTATATTTGAGAACCTTTATTCGTTTTAACTAGATTTTAACTGTATTTTTTTATCTTGTTCTCTTTTCTTTGATATTTGTACTCTTTGATCTTTGATATTTTTCTGTCTTTTATCTATTAAAAGAATATTGCGCAATAATTTGAACTGGCAAATTATCTAAGAGAGAAGTATGTCAGTCTGCCGATATAACTATCGTAAATACTATTATTTATCAATGGGTGAAGATAAACACCGCAAAAGAAATTAAATATATATTTATTTTGTATACCGAAAAAAGAAGGAAAAGCAGAAAATAAATAGAATAAGAACAAACAGAAGAAGAATAGATAGAAGAAATTAGATAGAAGAAGAATAGATAAAGTAAGACATATAATTAGCTAGATAAAGATAAGATGAAAATATGTAAATTTATCTTAGATAAGATAAAGATGATTTTGTTTTAAATATATCTAGATAAAGATAAAATTATATGATTTATCTAGATAACTTCTAGATAATATTATTTTTAAGACCGCTTATATAAACGTAGTTATAAAAAATGTAAATTATGAAAAGAATATAAAAATATATTTGTTTTTATTTGTAAGTTTCTATTGCTTACTGTTTAATAAGTTCTGCTACTAATAATATTTAAGTATTTATTATGTACTATGACTCTAAACCAAATTATCTGAACATTTATTCTAGATTATTTAATAAAGATAATACTTTTTTTTATTTAAGATACAGATATACAGATAAATACATATTTTTATTATCTATATAAAAATAAGATGACGCCAAAACTTCATGTAAATGCATATAATTTTATTTAGATAACAGCAAACCTGATGGTAATCGATATTAACATTGAGAATCATGAAATGTCTATGGTCACGGTTTGCATGCTGTGAACTTCAAATGATTGATTGTGACATTAATTATAGCAGATAAGCGCCCGGTCTTATCTTCCATTTTGTCAATTTAAAACGAAAAGAGAATAGCTATATATGTATATACACGTTGCATAATAAAATGTGTACAGATGCGTATACACATACATATACACATTTTTATATACACACCTATCGCGTGTAGCAAACAACTGATCGCAGTGAGTGTATATATAATGATGACTGAATCGGATGAGTTGCTTCTATTTACTTCTCGTATTCGTCCTAAAATTCGCTAATTATTTCTTTTATAATTTAAAAATTAAGCTTCGGATAAAAATTTGGTAAAGGAAAAATAGTTTTAGGATTAATTCAGGAATACGACATTTTTAGGATAAACGGTTGTTTTGCATCATTTTATATAAACGAGATGCATATCTTATTTTGCTCGCCTTGAAAACAATAATATGCGTCGTGTATATATATATATATATATATATATATATATATATATATATATATATATATATATAAGAGTATGTGAACTAAATAATATATAGTTGAGGATTTAATCTTTCCGCGTAAATATTTTAATTTCAGCTTTCAATTTTTATTCAAAAATTGCGAACCGATGTGGACACAAAAAATTGACTAGATGGTATAATAAAAAATTAGCAATAAAGATAATATTTAATGTACATATTTGTAGGAAGATAAAATACTATATAAATAATTTACTTTAAAATCTCCGATGTTTTGATATTTTCTTAATAATAGTAAATAATATGCGTTAATAAGAAGTTATGTAATAATTTTTAATGTCGAAAAATTACAAGAGATGATACACACATAATTCTCGTAGTTTCTCTCTTATCTTTATAGAATTATATAAATATTCTTACTAATAATAAATTTATTCACCCAGCAAACACAGTATATAAATATTATATACTTAAGCATGTTACATGTAACGTATATGTTAGTTGTAATTTTCCACTCATAGATGTAACATTTTTAATATTACATATATTACATTGTAGTTATATTGTCATTATATCCCAAGATAGCACTGACTTATCAATACATCAATGTGCTATTTGGTATATAATTACAATATAACTACAATGTAATATATGTTATATTAAAATGTTATATCTATGAGTGGGAAATTACAACTAACATGTATGTTACATGTAACGTACACGTTATATTACCTGTTATATTCCGTTTTATTATAGCAATGTAACAATTATATATCGGTGTTTGCTGGGCAATGTCATAAAATAAAATAGATTGGTATTTTGGAGAAATTTAAAGCGAGAAATAAAAAATATAAAAATGTAGTTAAAAGTTAAAATGCATGAATCTAAAAGAATTCTATTATGAGTATATTGGACAATTTAAAATTATAATAACAATACACGCATACATACTTATATAATATTTTGAAGACTTGTAGACACCCTATAATAGCACACATATCCCGAAGACGCTCAGAGAACATTCTGAGGATATTCGAATGTCCTCTGGATAGCCTCTGAATATCTTTAGGATATATTGTGTTATTAAGGCAATATAAAATAGTTTATCTCACAACCCAGCAAACACTGATATATAATTGTTACATTGCTATAATAAAACGAAATATAACAGGTAATATAACGTGTACGTTACATGTAACATCCATGTTAGTTGTAATTTCCCACTCATAGATGTAATATTTTTAATATAACATATATTACATCGTAGTTATATTGTAATTATATACCAAATAGCACATTGATGTATTGATAAGTCAGTGCTATCTTCGGATATAATGACAATATAACTACAATGTAATATATGTAATATTAACAATGTTACATCTATGAGTGGGAAATTACAACTAACATATACGTTATATGTAACATGCTTGAATAATATAACATTTATATACCGTGTTTGCTGAGAATTTTCTTATTTAAAACTTTTTTACTTTAATATATTTTTCAATCTATTATTATGCAACGTAAACATTCCTGAAAATTTTTACTTAATATATACTTGTATTTTTTAAAGTATACACACACACACGCACACACACCCATATATATATATATATATATATATATATATATATATACACATGCGTGTGTATTTTAATCATATCAATATACAGGGTGTCCGGTAACTAACGGACCAACGATTACAAATGGATTCTTTTGTCAATTTGGAAACGATTTTTTTTCAGCGAAAATGTCGAAAAAGATCATCATTTTTTACAACTTTCCAATATTTGTCATGTATCTTTATAACTAAGCCTCAAATTAAAATTTTATTATAGTAAACTCTACCTGAAATTAACTGAAGAATGTAATTATGTTAGACTTTTAACTCCAAAACGTTTAGTTTTCAAAAAACCCATTTTTTTCAATCACATAACTCGAAAATTATTGGCTTCTTAACATTTTTGCTAAGAAAAAATCGTCTCCAAATTGGCCAGAGAATCCGTTCTTAATCATTGGTCCGTTAGTTACCGGACACCCTGTATATATTACAATAAATATATATATATATATTTTACAATATATATACATTTAATTATATCAATATATATATATATATATATGTCGCGAATTTCTTATTTATATATTTTTTGTACAGTAGTATAATAAAATACATATTTTTTTGAACAACATTTTTTTTGTTTTCTGACAAGTTGATGAAAAAGTATACACCGTGCAATAAAAGCACTGCTGGTGACACGCGGGAATCGATATGGCGTCGCATATCCTCGACGGGATTCCCCGCTCAAGCACGACAGCATCGCGACGCAAAAACGGTCTCTCCTCTAACAGCCCAACTGATTGCTATTTTTGGCTGGCCAAGTACGTGCCAAGTTCGCGGAACGTTCTGCTCTTTCTCGGTTATTCGTTGTTGTAACGTGTACGACTCGCTGTCTTAAAATTAAAAGAAGTTTATGACCCGCAAAAATTCACTGCGACACTCCTATTGCGTCCTTCTACTAATTCACGCATAAATAATTCGAAATAAATATAATTTTCCTTTCTTCCTAATTTTTATTTCATAAATATAAAATATAATAAATATTATTTTTAGATTGGAAGAGCTATAGATTTAATTTTAATTTTTATATACAATTTTGATCATTATAGTTATCTTTAAAAGAAGATTTTTTTCACCGTTTATATACAATTAAAAAAATAAGTATCATTTAAAATAAGGTTCTCCATTTTATCGAACGAATAATTTTGAGTGTAAAAAAAAAATTAAGAACATTACATTTTTTATATTTTTTCCACACATACATTCGATCGTAAAACTATTTTTGCACTAGCCCCTCCTCTTTACAATACCATTATAATATCAACAATCGCGGATGACTAACGTCAACATTTGTTTCTGTCGCCACATGGTCGAGTGGGATATTCCCAGATGACAGTTAAATTGTTGCGCGTCAAGTGCAAACAATTTGCAAGAATTTGGCAATGGACGAGACAACAGCTGCGTTTGGCGGATGTTGTTACTACCAGGTCATTGGTATCACGGTTTTCCCGTGATTTTTGATTTGTGCGTAATATCGTAAAAAAAATATTAAAGTTGAATTTGCGAAGTTAGGTTAAGTTAGGAAGTTAATTATAAAATGTCGCGTTAAGTACATATTTACTTCACATTTTGAAATTATCTTCTTTTTTCATAATAAACAGTGAATATTATACTTGATCATACAAGGAGATAAAATTTATAATTTTAAGTGCAATATTATATATATACATAAAAGTAAAAGAAAAAAATAATAAGAAAAATGGTGACATAGTATAAATTATAGTACAATAAAATATACGAGATTAAAATATCGATTTAAAACATTATTGTGCGATAACAACATATATTATTATGAAGATTATTAATTTTTTACACGAGATTTAAAATTATTCGTTTGAAATTACCTGGGGTAAATTATCGCTTCTGATTTTTGGGAAATAAAAAGAGTGGAATGATATAGAGCAGACTTTGTATTTTCATTTTCTGATTAATAAAATAGTCACACACTTTCGTATGTATATATGTATTTTATCACGTCCCAAGTTGCAAATTGACGTCATTTTGACGTTTAGTGACGTTAGTCTGCTACCTGGGATGCTTCTTTCTCTCTCTTTTTCTCTTTCTTTCTTTCATTTACACACACACATACACATGTATCAGAAAAATATATAAAATTTCCAGCAACCTGGAAAATAACATTGCAAGTGTAAGAGAAAGAACAGAAGACGGAGGTGAACAAAAGTGTCAGCACGAATGAGAATTTAGAGACGAGAAATTAGAGGCTTTTTCAAGTTAGAATCTACACACTGCTCTAATTTTGGCCAAATATCATAATCATAAGTGTGTTCTGTATTGTTTACAAATGAGTTGATCAATATTTTTTGAATTAATTTATCCATTTTTTCAAAATAAAATATCAAAATAAAAGTCGAGTGGTCAAATTCTGACTTGAGGACATTTTTTTAGACTTTAGAATATAAAGTCATATATAAAGACCTTGTATATAATATAATCTTGAAATATACAAATTTGAATATCTGACATTTCGAGTCGACTTTCTCAAGCATCTCATGCGCATTTCACGCTCTGAGAATTCCAAATAGATGCTAAATCTGGATATTCGTGCGCCAAACTTCACGAAGACACGAGGCCTTTAAATCTTTATCTTTATTTATAATTGCTTTTCAATCTTAAATATCCTAGGTAGCATGACGTCATTTTAACATCTAATGATGTCAGTTTGCTATTTAGGATTTTGATTTAAGTAAATCTCAATTAAAATTTTCATGATCAAAACTGTTTAAATATGTCTCGTTGAATTAATTTTGTAATAATAATTTAAGAAATTACATTGTAAATATCTCAGATATCTTTAAGATGATGAATATTATTTTTTTTTCAGTTACGCAGATATGATTTGAAAATTATAACTTTTGGAAATTCTTAATGCATGATACAATTGATATCTTCATATCCTCAGTGAAATACATATATATATATATGTACACTTCATGTCGCGGCGATGAAACATTAAATATAATGTTTGCGATATGCGGCCAATATTATTTAGAGTCAACAACAAACATACAAACTCGCGAACATGAAATTATCTCGCAGACAGACATACAATAAATTAATGATAGGCATTCCTATTAATCATCAATAGGCATAGAATAAGAAATCAGTATTAACTTATCGTTGTCGTTACGTGTGTACACATTTCACGTAATACTGTATATCGATTATAAAATGGCCGTTACCTATATACTTACCGAGCAGACCAATCTCCCATTCAGCAAGTGACGTCATTAGATATCGAAATGACGCCATTTTGACGTTTAATAACATCGCAGTTTGCTATTTGGGCTGTCATTTACTAAACACGTCCCAGGTAGCAAACATACGTCATTTGGATGTCAAATGATGTCATTAGATATCAAAATGATGTCATTTTGACGTTTAGTGACGTCAGTTTGCTACTTAGGATGTGATGAGGAACACGAAGAATATAGAATAAAAGAAGAATTTTTTTCATATATCGAACATGTGTTATTTTTTTAATAAAATACAATCTTTTTTAACTATTTAAAATTCGCGAAAAATATTGTACATATTTGATTTATGTATAGAACTGCGATTTATAAGTTATTTTAATAAATAAATGCTACGATGCAACCTGGTCTGCTTGATGGATGAGTATATAGCACGCTTCTCTATAGTGAACTATGTTTCTCCTTCTATATATAAGATGTCCCCAAAGTCACGTGCTCTGGGAACTCTTTTAATTCTTTTCTTTTTAGTCTAGACGAGAGAATTAACGTCTGCGCGACTTTGACTCGCGATTTCGAGTTTATCTCACACAAGTCGAGTCTTCCGTCTCGTAATCGTTCATCATCAGTCCGTAAACAGGCTAAATAAGTTAGAAGAACAGCAAAAATTCTGTTATCTCAGACGGAAGGGAAAAATATTCCGCTCGCTCCGTGCGAATTTCTTCTATCGTATTTCTTCTTCTTTGAAAAAAATATTAGCGGAATACGAACGCGTAGCCGCTTCTAGAAAACTTCTCGTTCTTGAGAAAGGGTTTCTCAAGGGTTAGGTTTGCTCGCGTTTATTCCGTTCTATAAAGAGAGAAGGCCTCATCCTAAGGCAATGACGAGCAAAACTCGCAGGGATTCGTTTATTGCACGATTCGCACGCGACTAGCTTGATCCTAGCTTGGCATGAGATAAAATTAAAAAAAAAAAACAAGAAAGAGAAGATAACTGCTGCGCTAACAACGCCTTGGCTCACAACGCCTTTACGCAGTTGTCGGAAGCGAAGAAGTCACTTTACGATGCAATCATTCGATGTCTTTCTCTCTGTCGTCCTTCCAGAACATACGAAACTCTCTTTCTCAGCGACCCCTTCACTCTCCCTCTTTTTACGACAACGCTCTCAATTTTTCTTTTGTCGAGTCCGTATTACACGACACTTCTACTTCGCGCCTTCCATCGAAGGCGGTGGCAGAGGAATCGCTTGTTCGGACACTGGTTGCTGCTGCTGCTCCTTCTTCTTCGCCTTCTTTACCTTTTTTTGCCCGGGCGAATCCGTTTTTCTTTCCTTTATTTCTTCCGTCTCTTGCTTCGACTGCGTCACATCCTTGTTTTGCGTCGTCGTGTCATCTTTTCTGTCGCTCGTCTCTTCCGCGCGCTTCGTCGTTTCGTCTGCTGGCGCAACACCCGGCTGCTCTGCACTTTCTGCTGCGCGATTCTCTATTTTTTGTTGGCTTTTCGCCTCGACGATTTTGTTATTTTGATGGAAAGAATCATTCTGATTCTTGGATTCGACAATTGCGCTTTCATTTTCCGAAGACTCCAATTTCTACAAAAAAATAGGACAAGACTGGAAATTAATAGGACAGTTCGTTATAATTTGCAATAGAAAAAGTAATAAAAAAACAAGAATTTCAAAACCTGTATGTATGATATCTAGCTGTGTATGTCGATAATGGAAAATCTGACAATCTGAATTTTAAGGGGATCCTAAACGTCCTTGAGAAGTCTGTGGTTTCTGTCTTGTTTTTATCGACAAAATGTGAGGTTAAATAAACTATAAATCTATTTATTGGCTATACAGATTGTATTTTACCTGAAATTAGAGCGCTCCACCCTTGTTATTATTAATACTTTAATTTGTACAGGAAAAATATTTATCAATCTGTATTGTCTATATATATCTATATAGGTTACAGAATTATGAATTCAAGAATTCTGTAACCTAGATGTATGAGACTATACAGATTGATAAATCTTTTTCCTGTACAAATTAAAGTAATAATATTAATAAAGGGGAAACGCTCTAATTTTAGATAAAATACAATCCGTATAGGTCATAAATAAATTTATAATTTATCTAACCTCATATTTTGTCAATAAAACAGAACGGAAACTACAGACTTCTCAAGAACGTTTACGATCCCCTTAACGTTATTTTTGTTTCAAGATATTTCTCACCTGCGTTGGCGATGATGGCGCTGGTGGAAGCGGTATCGGCTCACTGTCTTGCTTTTCCTGTTTCACGTCTACATCCATAAGTTCAGGGACTTGCAACACCTGTTTTTCTTTCTCTTCGGGGCACTCTTCTCCCTCTCGCGTAATAGATTGCTGCTCAGGGAGTGGTGCTTTTGTTTCTAGCAAGCTGATAGTATCTTGTATACTCTTGATGGTGTTCTTACGCGCCTGCCGTACGTTCTCCCGGCCTTCCGTCTCGATGTCGTCCAGCTTGAGCAATTCGCGTGTCAGCATCTCGTCAAGGTAAATGTACTCTTTGTCTTGTCGAGAGCCGCCGGCGTAATGTCCCACCTGCTCTGCCAGATTATCCACTTCCCTCTGCACCTGGATGACTTTCTCCAAAGGATCTTTCGGGACCGGCGGCGGTTTAGGCTTTGGCATTTCTTGCTGTTGATATTGCGGTTGTTGAGCCTGTTGCTGTTCATATTGCGATTGTTGAGCCTGTTGCTGCTGGTGATGATATTGAGGTTGCTGATGTTGCTGTGGATTATATTGTGGTTGTTGTTGATAATGCTGTTGATATTGCGGTTGCTGTTGATACTGGGGTTGCTGCTGTTGTGGATGATACTGGGGTTGTTGTTGTTGAGAGTACTGGGGTTGCTGATATTGCTGCTGATGCCGTCGCATCTGCGGCTGCTCAAAGCTCGGTTCGTAGAATGCATTTTGAAAGTGTTGCGGCGGCCATTGCTGTCTGCTAAAGTGTTCATTAAAGTGCGACGGTCTGTGGAAGTGCGGTGGCGATTGTTGCCGTTGCTGATGGTGAAAGGTGGGCGGCGGCGTAGCTTCGTCGGTCGAGAGCTTTGATATCACGGGCTCATCGCGGCCCTCTACAAAAATAGGGATGTGCCGGACGTTGCTGGCTGGTTTGCCGGGCGATTGAGCGCGCTGTTGCTGATTATGCTGCGGTGTAATGTCCACTCGAGATACGAATCTCTGTCCTGGACCAGGTTGCTGATTTTGACCATATTGCTGTTGCTGCGGTTGTTGCTGTTGCCGATTCTCCGGCGGCGCTGACATCGATCGTTGGCCGCGCTCGCTTTTCTCCGGACTTATTTCCATGTTGCGGCGCCGCTGTTGCTGGCCTATGTCCACAGTGTTGCGTAGACCGTATTGCGGTATTGCGGGCGACGATGTCAAATCCGGCTCGCCGCCGCTGTGCGAGCTGACGGCGCTGGCGCCGCTCGCGGCGCTGCTACCGCTTGCCTGGCTACGCGCGTCCTCGTCCACTTGATGTTGTTGGCCGCCGGATTGTTGCTGTTGCTGTCCGTCGTTGCTGCTACCACCGGAGCCGCGGCGCCGATGGTGACGATTACGTAATGCGGAACCACTAAACGGCCAGGGCGGTCCGCGCAGATGCTCGGCAAACTCGGGGTGGCGCGTCGCGAGATCGTCTAGGTGCGCGCGAATGCCGTCGCCACGTGGACGCTCAAAGACGTCGGCCTCGTCGTCAAACGGAAAACCCTGCAACAATAGACAAAAATCGCGTAAAGTCATTAAGCGTGTAAAAATACTATTTTTTGTATTTTTTTAAATATCACACTCATTGTCAGTTCCATACAGTTGTTGAACATATAGTACGTGAATATTTTCCAGCAACGGAATACAGTCATACATTGGGTTTATTCTTTATTGCTACACTGAACTAGTGCAATGAGTTAAAGCGAGGCAAATATATTTTGTTTCGCTCTAATCACTGATGAGGTACTATTAAAGACCGACGGCCTTACAGGAGTTTGTGTCGCATACTAAATACGCCTGTCGGTACGGTGTCGGTAACTATCAAATTCCTATTTTATATATATATATATATATATATATATATTTAATTATTAATTATGTTGAATATGAACTATATAATTAAAATTTAAATATAGTAGAATAAATAAAATATTCTTATTAGTTATTTATTATCACGATTATCGGCCGATGCCGGGTCCATCGGGCCCACTTGGTAGAGACAGAATTTACCCAGGGCCGACGGTCTTTAACAGTATCTCGTCAGCACTCTAACTTATTGCACCAGTGTACACTAGTTCACCAGTGCAGCAATAAAGAACAAATTCAGTTAAATTTAGGATTTTAGCTCGTGTCACTTTGTGTCGTAGTTCTTTTGAACTCGTATACAAGCGGTTTGTTCTTTTTGGCTGAACTGGCTGCACTAGTTCAGAGTTTATCTTCTTTACTCCATATTGGAAGGAAAGAGAAATTCTGAACTAATGCAGCCAGTTCAGCTAAAAAGAACAGACCTACGATGTCGTCTCCCAGATAGCACCATGCCCAAAATTGGTGCATAAGACATTTTTAAATGTTTTGGGATATCATATCATATAAGATAAAATTTCTTAATAATGTCTTATGCACTAATTTTGGACATGGTGCTGTCTGGGCTGTGTATGTTGTTGGAAGGCAGTCTAAACATCCCAACTTTTACTAGATTCAGACATACTGATACGAGTATTAATAATGGCAATTATACGCATGACATTCAATCGTATCAGACTAGCAAATAAGTGCGAGCAAGGGCGCGTTGAAGGGGAAATTGCGTGTAATCGGGCACGAGGTGACGAATTCTCCACCTTCTCCTTCTCCTGCGACAAATCGAGGTCACGTCGTCGTTCCACTTAGTGGACGGACATATTATAAGAAAGTCACAGTTGCAGGAGAAAAATGGAGTGGAGAAAGAGAGGAGAAACGGGAAACGAGCGTTTTATTATACACGCCCGATAATCGGATTTTCCTATTTTCGGCACGACGTTGCCGGCTCGACACGTTACTCTGGGCAGCACTCACAAAATTCACAAACGCATTCATCGCCGTTGCCACGTTGATTCTTTTCGCCTGTCAACCGCAAAAATGTGCAAATTTTATGATACATTCAGCGAGTTTTCAGCCTTTAATTCTAAAACCGATCTGAAAATTTTATTCATCGTTGCTTCGTATTTGGCACCACAAGCTAAAGATTAATATTTTTATTTAAAACTATAGCGTGTTTATAAAAAAAAGTTATTCTCCTCTTTCTTTACAGTTTACATTTTCAAAGAAACATTGAAAGAGGAAGTGCATGTGTAAACAAGACACGTATATAAAGTACTTTTTTATTTATTCGTTATACATAATAAAAATCACACTGCAAGAAATTTGCCACATATTTGCTATATAGTCGTCAAATAAAATCGAGAAAAATACTATTTTAGTATTTAATACTTTTGAGAAATTATTCTTATTGATCAAAATAGTCGTATCGACATTTTTTAATCTATAAATGGAAATACTTTATTTTTCATGTTAATTAAAATTCGTCACGTTATTTGAAATAAAGATTTTGAAGAAAAAAAATAATTCTTTGCAGCAGCTTAACACAATTTACAAGTGGACATTAATGTTTTCATGAATAATATTTCAGTTTTTATTTTTTTTCCATAGAAAATTTTAAAATTTGTATATAATTTTAATTTTTTTCAGTAATATAATTGTCTAAAATTTTTCATGGATTTAATATTTGCGCGCTGTACAATGAGTGCATTACATGAATAAAACAAGAAATATAATAGAAATTAGAAATAAATCAGTAATCAATTAAAAAAATAATTTGAAATATAATAGGAAATAATTTAAAAGTAATTAATAATTTAAGAATAATTAATAATTTAAAAATAATTATTAATTTAAAAATACGCAAAAAAATAAGAAATCTCAGAAACGTTGAGGAATATTCGACGAGAAAAAATTTTAGAAGTCAACAAAATTTCCTTTTTTTCTGGAAAATTCTTATTTCCACCGGATGATTTCATACATGGTTCGGAGGAGGGATGCTCCGTCCTGTTCTTTTCTCATTTTCTGTCTTCGTCTTGGAGCACGCGCAAATACGCCCACGCACACTAGCTGTTCGTCATGCGTTCCAGAACCGCAGTGTTAAACGTCATCCGTGAACGTGCGGAAAAGCACACACTTGTATAAAGTAGCATCCTTTTTTATCACAGAGGAAATCTTTTATATAGGTACCCAGAATCCTCGGAAAAATCCTCGTGTTCTTTTGCGTCCTTATTCGTATATATGATATGAAATCTTTTAAAGGGTGCATGATAAGATGTCAAAATGACGTCACCCGCGGAATCGCCGCGCCTCTTGCGCCGTAACTTACGTCGTATCGCGTTATCGATCACGTTAATAATGACCAGGCGTCTAAATGGGTTCATGACGTCACGGTCATTGAGGTACTCATTTTGGCGATCCACTATAATTCGATTTCTTTTTTTTTCTTTATACATATATATGTGCATGATTTCGTAACATTTAATATATGTTAATTTATTCGGAAAATTATTCCGACGAAGATTATTATCTCGATAATTTGAATTTTCCGAACACCTCCTGCGGCGCGAATAAGAAATCGAGAATCGCAGTAATATCTTGATTTTTTTTTTTTTTTTTTTTTTTTTTTTTTTTTTTCGAGAAAGAACTGCGTGTTTCATCGCCACGAAAAATACGGCACGTTTCACGTAAATGCTATTTCTGATTTCCACGCGATTTTCATGCGAAATGCGAGAAGGAGCAGACTGTGAGTGAGACAGAGACAGAGAGAAAGAAAGAGGTGGGAGGAAAGAGAACATATATACATATACATATATATCTTTGGGAGGAAAAGAGAACGTTAGCAAGAGCGGAATAAGCTGACTATCGATATAGTTTTGTAATCGGGACCTTATAAGTGGCGACGTCGAAAGTTTATATTTACTTAATTCGATAATCGATTGATCGAACGAATGTTTCTCGAAGAAACTTGAATATCGCGGAGGGGGTTATGACTTTTTTTCCGAATCAAGATTGACGTATAACTATATATGTATATCCGTCTCCAGTTTCCGGTTCGCGACTCTTCTTCTTGTGGTTTCCGGCCGTGAGAATAAAGAAAATAAGAGGGAGCGAAAAAAAAAGACCCTAACAGTAGACATATCTCGAAGCCCACAGAGAACATCCTGAGGATGTTCGAATGTCCTCTGGATATCCTCGGAATATTTTTCGGATATGTTGTGCTATTAGGGGATGGATGTAACGTCACTTACGAGGAACAAGCGGTCCAGATCGATCTCCCGTCCAAATTTGGATGCTGCGTCCACGATGACAGGCGAGTCCATTTTCTGGACTTGTTTTTGAGCCCGCGTCCGCTTTTGGATTCGTGACACGCGCTCTCTCTCTCTCTCGTTTGTATTATGTTTAATAATTAATTTTTTCTCTTTTTTCTTCGAATATTGGGATATATATATTCATTCACTCACACATACACACTCTCTCTCTCTCTCTCGCAAAACCTGACACTCACAATAAGTTGTTCTCTCTCTCTCTCTCTCGGCTTTTCTTCGTCTCCTCGCACGCTTCTCTGCTTCTGGTTGCGATTACATAAGCGACGAGCCACTATACACTCGTCTCTTTCTCATTCGCCGTCACTGGTACACTTTTTCAAGGTCGACCTGTCTCTCTCTCTCTCTTCCGAGGAAGGAAAACATGCGTACAACGCACGTGTTTGCGTTTCAGTGCATGCGCGCACATACACGACCGTCGCGGACGCGGACGACAGCGAGACTGACAGCAGGCGCGGGCCGCGGGGTGACTTAAATGCGCGATTACGTGTGGGTCGTGCGCGACCACGTGACTCGCCGCCGCGGAGCGGAGTGAAGGCGGCCGCGAGAACCTACTAGAATCTTCTCGCGTTTAATCTCTATCTCGCTTCCGCGCTTACTCCTTCTCTCTCTTGTTCTTTCGAGAAATGCCAAAGAACCGATGACGAGAATCTTCCGTTCCTAATAGCACAACGATATCCGAAAGATATTTAAAGTCTTCGGGATATGTGTGCTGTTATAGGGGTCGTCGGTTGAATTTTTTTGAGTTCGTTTGTTTTTTTTTTTTTTCAAATTGGCGCATTCGTTTTTTAAAGTTGGCGCGTTTGCTTTTTAAAATTGGCACTTTAAAAAATGCCTTTGTTTTTTTGTTTTTATAGGAAACACGATTTACTTTATTCTGGAAATTGCGAGAAGCGTATAGAGAAACATGAATAGATAAATAGGTAGATATATAGAAGTGGGTGAAACGATACTAGACCCTTCTCGAACGATCGAAAGAGAGAGGCGAGATGGGAAGGAGAGACACACGTGACCTATATTTTTTAGGTGGAAGGGATTCTCGTACTGCAGTCAAATATTCCGCGTAACGCGCGCTTACACGCAAAGTTCAGAGCAGAGCTCGATATCGTGGTATATTTTCCAGATGAAATCGGACGTCCGGTTAAGGAAAACTAGACTAGAGATTGAGATTAGCGATGAATGAATCGCGAAGTTATGCGCAGGTTATGTTATAACGAGTTCGACGAAAAATGACTCGGCGCGATATTCACAACGTATAACCTTAAACGGCATTTGTATATATTTTACATTATTAGTAGCAGAGTTGGATAATAACTAGTTAAT